TATAGATGTATTCTTATGTGTACTCAAGTATATGTGCTTACCTTGAGAAAGGTCTAAAGATTTTATCATACTAATAAAGAGACTGGTAGACCAAAAAAGTTTGAAATCACTACTGAGCAATAAAATGTAATGTTAAAGCTTGAATTTTCATGTCTTCCAGTTTACCAGGTAGCTAGACATTTTAATTAGAGGATTTGAAACAACAAACAGCAAAGTTAACATCTTATTAACATCATAAAGTAACTTTTTAAGTAGGAAAATTTGCTTTTCTAAAAAAAATTATTTCATTGCCAGCCATCTGCAGTTACTTCTCTCTGAAAGATGAAGAGACACGTAGATTTAATAAATGACTAAAGATCAGCTTTCCAGAAAAGTCCAACTCTTCCTCCAGTGTGGTTTGTACAAAGAAAAGACTGTAGTTTGCTCATTCTATTTACTTAAAATAATGATTCTCAGCAGCATCGATACATTTCATATGCCACTGATTAAATCTTGAATACTCATGCATGCATTAAAAAGCCTTCTGTTGCTATGGTAGAACCTAATATTATGAAATGTGTTCCAGATTTCCTTTAGGGGAAAGAATATTATAACTGAAAATTAAATGAAAGCTGCTTATCAATGAGAACACTCATGAAGAGAATGGGAAGATTGCTCTGTAAAAGAGAGTTAGGAGAGACTAGATTCGGTTTCCAGTGAAATGTGAATGTTTTATTGTCCTGGAGGCTGGAGAGACTGCTACTAAAGCAGGAACAAGTGTCTTTAGATACCAGGCATCCTCTGTAAGTACAAGTCTCATTGTCTATTTGGGGAATGAGACAACAGATTCCATAATGGTAGATTTAAAATTGAGGGAAATGGATCAGGATTGCCTGCCACATAACCCAGAAGAATGATGAATAGCCATCTGGAAACTCTGGCTTTTGATACCAAAGTTCTTCCCAAGACTTTGCTTTCATGGCCTGCTTGGATATGACTCAGGTACTCACTGGCCTTTGAAATAGAATCACAAAAATTCAGAACACCTACAGACCAGTTTCTTAATCATGGTATGACCAACATTTTGGATTAGATAAGTCTTTGTTGTTTGGGGGGGGGCGGTACAGAATCTCAGGTCCTACCCTAGGCTTAAGGAACTAGGATATGAAACTGGAAGGGGGACACTCTTCCAAATGACTCAGATTGGTTGAAGTTTGAGAAATGATAATCTAACTCAATTCCCTCATTTTATAGTTAAAAAAAACAGAGGTTGTTAAGGGCTATGTTAGTCAGCTTTTTATTGCTGTGACCAAAATACCTAATTAGGGCAACTTAGAAGAGGAAAAGTTTATTTTGGCTCTACAATTGTAGAGATGCAGTCTGTGATGAGCCAACTCCATTTCTCTGGACCCCAGATGAGGCAGAACATCATGGCAGAAGGGCATGGTGGAAGACTGCTGCTCTGTTCATGGCAGCCTGGAAACATGGTGGGGGGATTGAGAGGAAGGGGTCACAGAGAAAATGAGCTCTTCCAATGTCAGCCCCCAGAGACCTCCTCCAGCCATGCTCCACCTGCCTACAGTTACCAGACAGTTCATTCAAACTCAGAGGGACTGATTAGGTTACAACTCTCATAATCTAGTCATTTCACCTTTGAATATTCCTGAATTAACACAGGAGCTTTGGGGGTTCTTCTCATATCTAACCCATAACAAGTCCTACCCAAGAGCAGCTGGTTACCAGCCAAATTAGTATACCATATCCTATTATCCAGAGGGTTTGCTAAGTGTGGCTTCAGCGGAAGAGGTAAGGGGCCTGTAAAGATATTTCATCCAAAAGCCAACCACAGTATTGACATGTGAAACATAGCCTTCCCCAAGTTTTTTATAGGTGCATTATATTTCTACATAATGTTGATATTTGTTGTTATGTATTCATGGATGCACACAATAACATGTGAAACATCTTACTGCACAAAAGAGAAACTTCCAAGACTGGCTAGCTGTCTTTCTCAAATTTGATCTCCTAGTCTCTCAGGTTTCCTTGAATTTCATGCAGAACACTTTTATTGACACTTTATGGTTAGTGATATAATGAATTTACATCTAATTGCCTTATCGTGTTTTTCTTCTTGCTTGTTATCATCATATACCTATTTTATTACACAGTCACTTGGAGTTAGAAGAGTCCTTATTTTTATAATCTCATGTATTATTACTGTTGTTATTGGAAGACATATTGTTTTATAATTTTAAACGTTTCTATGAGTTGAACTGGAATGGAAATCAGTTTATGTATGTTAGAAGATAAAAAATGTGCTGACCATATATATTTGAGAAACCCTATATGAATTGCTTATTTTTTAAAAAGCAAACATAGAAAAAATAGATTACTTGACAAAAATCATTTTTATTGATGATAAGTGAATATAGAAATATCTAAAAGACATTTAATTGCCCAGTTTTCTGCTCTTTTTAATAACAGAAAATATATCCCCAGAGACATTCTTAGCTCTATCTTGACTCTTGCCCATTATATTCTGCTCGCTGTGGGGATTCAGGTTGCTAATCCTAAAAGAGAGTTAGGATGACAATTTGTGCTTTCTATGGGGAAATGAAAGAGCAGGTTTGTAAGGGGTGGTGGTGGTGGCTGCATGTAGGTCTAGATTGCTTAAGAGGCCCACAAGGAAAACCAATCACAACCAAAATGGGCCCACCTACCGTTGCTGCAGCCTAGAGAGGACTCTTTCCCAATTCTGATTTGTGCCAATAAACACTTTAGAGATGTCAATTTTTCTTTTTCCTTTAGTGTTATTCATGCAATTTATGAAAATAATTTTGCAGATCTGAGTACATACAGATTTCCAAGAATGTTAAAATGCTATAAACAGCAATTGATTTACAATTGTACTGTTATTTAGTTAACATCCTTTGAAATGTTTCCATACTGAGAGTTAACATTTTGATAACCATCTTTTATAGACTTTCCAATGCAGACATGCGCGTGGGCACGCGCACACACACACACACACACACATACACACACACAGTTTTATATAAATAGAATCAGATTATACAGTTTATGCAGTTTTATCATGAGCATTTTTTTAGTCTTCTTGTCTGTTTTTATCTTCATTCCCAATCATCTCTAGCTCTAAGTTAATCAGTCTTGAAAACTAAATGTATATTCTTCCGTATCCTTTTTCATTGCAAAATTACATACATCCTTATGCGTTAATATCTTATTATCTTCAGCACATAAAACAGGACCAAGTGTGCTCTCAGAATGGTGTCATAAACATTATAGGTGCTCCATAAGTATTTGTTGAATGAATTAATAGTTTGCTCTGTGTGTGTGTGTGTGTGTGTGTGTGTGTGTGTGTGTGTTATGCACTTTCTTGTATCTGGAGTTATCAGTATTTTTATGTAATTGTATAGATTTAATCAATATTATGGATGGCTGCAAAATAACCCATGGCTCTAAGGTAACATTAATTTACTTAGCTACAATCCTAATTAATAGTCAAGATAGGTTTACTCTTTTCTACTATTAATAACAACACCTATTGAGTATTTACCACATATCAAGTATATTTTATAGCACTTTATGTATATTAAGTTACTGAGGTAATGTTCTCCACATTTTAGGGAACTAGGGAACTGAGCAGGAGAAGGTAAGAAACTTACTCCAGGCTATACTGGCAGTAGGTGGCAAACTAGTCAGTATGAGTTCCAAGTATATTTCCCCAAATTATTCGGATAAAAGGTAGTAAATGACACAATCATGCCGTGTATTGGAATGATGCTTTGTTTTTATTTGATAGCTTCTCTAGGGAGGAATTATTGCAAATATGGGTATATTTTATATTGCTAGATTGCTTTGCAAAATGGCAGTAATTATTCATATTTCCACCAGCAGTTTATGAGAGTTCTTTCTTCTAGCAGTATTATTTTTAAAATGTATTTTTCTCTTCTTTTTTTTTTTTTTTTTTTGCCAACCTGGTGGGTGAGAAGGGAATTCTCGTTAAGTCTATATGCTTTTCCAACAGTAGTAAGATTGAGCAACACAACTAACTTAGCAGCCATTTTTACTTGCTTTATTATAAATTCCTGCATTAGTCAGTGTTCTTCAGAGAAATAGAACCAATAAGAGTGGGTGGCGGGTGGTGTGTGTGAGAGAAACAGAATAAGGGACTGGTTGATATGTTTATGGAGGCTGCAAAATACAAAAATTTTCAGGGTAGGCCAGCAGGCTAGAGACCCAGAGATAAAGTAATGATGTAGTTCAAGCCTAAAGGATATTTGCTGCAGAATTCCTTCTCACTTGAGAGGTGGTCAGATTTTTTATTTGATTCTGTCTTCAACTGATTGGATGAGGCCTGCCCCACATAGAAGACATATTGCTTTACTCAAAGTTCACTAATTTACCTGTAAGTCTCATCCAAAAGTACCCTCACAGAAACATCCAGAATAATGTTTGACCAATATCTGGGGCACCATGACTCAGTTAAGCTCACACATAAAATTAGCCATCATAATTGCCTATTAATAATTTTTCATTATTTTTCTACTGAATTGTCTTTTTTATCACCTTGAACATTACTGATATTGATTCAATAAATGTGGTGTAAATATTTTCCCATTTTCTTATACACTTTATTTCTTATACTGTTTCTCATAAGTATTTTACATTTTAAACTATTAATTTAATACTTTATCATCAGTGAACCATAGAGTCATTGAAATTTAGATGAAAATTATAGAGTACAAGTAGATTCCATTATTCTTGTAATCACTTTTTAATTACTAATCCTCTAAATTGATTTTAGGAGACTTTTAATTTTTTTGTTAAATCAACTCAGTCTTTCAACTCTACAAAGTTTTTTGAAAAATATGAAATAAATCATCATCTTCTCTTTTTTTTTTTTTTTTGTCCAAAAAAAGGAACCTAGATTGTGACCTGGGAATGTGGGGCTGTATTTCAACAATACTAATATTTATTTTTTAATTATATTTTCACAGCTCTGAAATCTGGAGGAATGTGAGAGTTAGTGGCGGGTGCTAACTTCACTGGTAACAGTCTATGGAATTTAGCAGAGCAGCTTTCAATCAATAACATGTCCTATCTGCACCTCTGGACAGCTTACAGCTATACATTGTGTGCCATGCAGATTGGACCTTGGTTAGACAGCAGGAGGCTGTGTGAGATCCAGTTCACATTGCACTTGATAAACCATGTGCCTGCAGCTTGGGTCCAACTACAGGGGGTGGGGCTTTTTTTCCCCTAATTTATACAAAAGTGCCCCATTGCTTCCGAGTCCTTCCATCTGCAATCCAGTCCAACTCCTCTCAAGATGCATTTGCAATTGTTCTACTCCAACATCTCCAGGAGCAGCAGCATTCCTGTGAGTTTGTTCTTTGTTCCTGTCCTCTGCCACAGCAGAAGTTCCATCTTTGTGTTCCATCTCCCAAGTAGAAGATTGAAGTCATTGAAGGAGTGCTTGTTGATGGCGTCCAGTTTGGCCACCAGGGCAAACACAGACTCCACTATGGGGCCCATGTGCAGGTACTAAGAAGGCAAACATGTGCAGGTACTAAGAAGGCAAACATGTGCAGATACAGGTCAGAACTCAACCAAACAGAAATTACTCCTACATAAGCCCAAGCTCCAATCTAAAGGCAACACTGACAAGTTAGAAGTCTAGAGGAAGACTGTGTCTGAATCTATGATTGTGGGCAACAAGAGACATATACCTCTAGAACACATTAACTCCAGTGTCTCAGGCACCATCAGGCAAAAGCAGCATGGTGGGTTAAGGTGTGCTTACAAATTGGGCCCACTCAGAACAAAGGCCACAGTTCCCAGAGACAGCTGTTCTCCCCACAGCAGGCCCCTGTGGCTCGGGGAATGCCCTTCCTCTTTCACCCTTTAATGCCTGGAGGGGGAGAGTATTGTGGGTTGAATATGTCCTCCACCCCATACTCTCAAGTTGAAGTCCTAACCCAGTACCACAGAATGGGATTACCATTTACATGGAAATAAGTCATTAAAGAGGTAATTAAATGAGGTCGTTAGGGTAGGCCCTTATCCAATATGGCTAGTGTTCTTGTAAGAAGAGATTAGGACACGGGCAAACATAGAGGGACAACCTGTGAGCACACAAGAAGTAGTCGCCATCTACAGGTCAAGGAGAGAGGCCTCAGGAGGAACCAACCCTGCCACACCTGGATTTTGGATTTCCAGCTTCCAGGCTGAGACAGTAAACTGCGATTGCTTAAACTGCCCAGCCCTGAGATACTTTATCACACCTTGTCTGTGATCCTTGGTTGGGCAGCCCTTGCAAACTAACATAGGAGGTGACAATCTCCTGCCTTTACTAATCTCTCACTGTTTCATGAAACAGTGAGAGATTAGTAAAGGCAGGAATGAAAGAATTACAGAGCTGCAGGAGAGAAGAAACCAAGTTTCCAAGGAAGATAGTGGGAAATTCTATTTGTATTTATTATTTCTGCTACTGATTTATAACACCAATCATATTTATATTTATTTGGGGGGGGGGAGAGCCTGGAATGAATAGTTCCTGTTTTAGTCATTTTTTTTTTATTTGTTTGTTTGTTTGTTTGGTTGGATTTTTTGGCCACTGTGACCAAAAGACTTGATAAGAACAATTTTAAAGGTGAAAAAGTTTACATGGGGCTCACAATTTCAGAGTTCTCAGTCCATAGACACTGCCTCCATTGCTTCAGGACCAAGATAAGGCAGAACATCAAGGCAGAAAGGCCTGATGAGGGAAAAGAAGTCAGGACTGGACAATCAGGAAGCAGAGAGACAATTCTCACCAAGGACAAAATAGATATCCCAAAGGCACGCTCCTAGGGGCCCACCTCTTCCAGCCACACCCTACCTGCCTACGGTTTCCAGTTAATCAATTCAAGTGGGTTAATGCACTGAATTAGGTCAAGGCTCTCATTTCACTTCTAAACTTACTTGCATTGTTTCACACGTGAGCTCCTATGGGAACTAAGCAGTTTCCCTACATGGCAACTATTATTTAGAGGTTTTTAAAATTCACCATCGTTGAAATGTAATATTGGCTACAATGTTTCATTCTTAGAAAAACCAAGGAAATGAATTTCAGAATTTATTCCATGTTGTTACAGTGAATCCGTTTGTTTTAAAACATTTCCTTCAAAGTTATTTAAAACACAGGGTTATGATGTAGGTATTAGGTGTTCCGCATAAAGCTTGTGTGTGACATGCTGCAAGGTTTAGAGGTGAAATGAGGGGGTTGTGAGAGCCATAATGCAATCAGTGAATTAATCCCCTGATAAGAATTGATAACTGTAGGTAGGTAGGGTGTGGCTATTTGGGGTTTATTTGGGGTGTGCCTTTGGGGTTTATATTTTGTCCCTGAGTGGATTCCCCCCTCCCCCACTTCTTGGTGGCCATGTCCTGGCCTACTTTCCTCTGCCACACTCTTCTGCCATGATGTTCTAGCAAAAGACCTGACAAGAATACATAGTCTAAGCAAATTGATCAAACATTGTTCTCGGCTTACTTTTCAATTTTGATTTTACTCTCCTTATGAGTACTATTCTTTTAAAGTCATAATATGAAATTTAAGTAAATTAAATAAAAGTCTTTAAGCATCAGAATCCATTTTAAATCTGAAAAAGATGTATGTGTCTTGAGGGAAAGCACCAACCTCTCATATTTTGTATAATGTATATTTTTTTTTCATTCATTTAATTTTATAATTATTATCCTAACAACTAGCATTGATTTGGTATCTTGCTACATTTTATCTCATATTTCCATCAAGAACAATGTGCTATAAATCTTAAACTGTATCTAACCTTTGGTATATAACTAACAATAATTTGTTATAATTAATATTAACTTTGAAATTGATTTATAAGGTTTTTGGTGATGGGTTTATTTTTTTATTTTTTAAAACATTTTTAAAATTTTTAGTTATAGATGGACACAATATCTTTATTTTGTTTACTTATTTTTATGTGGTGCTGAGGACCGAACCCAGTGTCTCACATTTGCAAAGCAAGTGCTCGACCACTAAGTCACAACTCTAGCCTGATGGGTTTATTTTTAAATAAAGTCTTCTATTTCCCATATTATAAAATTACTCCCTACTCCTAATTGTGATATCAGCTCATGTAGGATTACTGGCTGCTGGAAGGCAAACGATGTTTTGTTTGTTTGTCTGTATTCACTTAACTTCCAGTCATATTGATCCAGTTTTTATATTGTATTTGGTTGGTTGTTTGATTGGATGACAACATGAGGGTTTTTGTTAGGCAAGGGAAAAATTATTTAATCCTGGAATCATATATTATTGGGGCCTGACAGATCTTTTCCTTTAGAAATCTGACAAGATGTTTTTGTGTGATGTCATATGTAACAGGGGTTCCTAACAGGGCATTAAGGATCTTAGCACCTAATTGTTATTTATCCATGTTTTTGTTCCTCTTTCAGTTTCAATGTTGGCAACAAAGGAAGGGTGGGTTTTGGTATTTCCCTTCTCATGTTCATTATCAGGCCTCCTCAAATAATAATGGTAATGTCAACAATAAAATGGTTAAAATTAAAGACACATACGCAAGTGAGAACAAAAGCTTCTTTAGAAAATTTTGATATTAAAAAAAAAAAGTGCTAGTTTGCAAAGAATACGTGAAGACTAAGCGCCTCTTTCTCCATCCAGTGCTTACCCTGCCAGTCCTCCTTGTAACACATGTACAGCTGTACTATTGCCAACATTGATTTGTGCTACTGATGTACCTCCTCACACATCTTGAAATTAACTATATTTAGTTCTGTAGTAGGCAGGAGTGTTATTTTAGGGATTTACTAGGTTAGCTGAAACAGTAATCCCCACTAGTAATAAACATAGTAACCTCCTAACTTATGGATAGAAGTTTATAGCTTATGTCATTTACTTTCATTTCATTCCATAAGCATTACCATCTAGACAATATGTGAATATAGTAAAAGATTTTTTGAAAGGGACCATGTTCACATAAATTTTATTACAGTGTATTGTTATAATCATTCTATTTTATTAGTTATTGTTAATCTTTTCTGTGCCTAATTTACAAATTAAACTTTATCATAGGTATGTAGGAAAATATATTTGTGTATGTGTGTGTGTGTGTGGGGGGGGGTTCAGTAATATCCTGTTTCATGCATCCACTGGGATCTTGAACGTCTTCCTCACCGATAAGTCAGGGTACCGTCTTCAGAAGTGTTACTTAAATACTATCCCTCTGACTTCGAGAAATACCAGCACCCTAGAAAATTACCATCTGAACTAAGGACTAGGAAAGTCTACCTGCCGTAAATTCATCAATATTACAGAGTTCTGTTTGTCTTAACTTTGTCTTTGTTTTGATTAATGCAAATAAAGTGCTCAATATAAAATACAGTAGTCTCATAATAAACAACAGTACCATCACTTTTGTCATGGAATACCTCATATTCTCTTATTTGTACGTCCCACCAACACCTAGCTTATATTTGGCGATCATATAAATATTTATCGAATGTATGGATGACATTTACGATAGTCCCATTGCACTCTGTGGTCAAATTCGGCCAGTACCCAGTTCCGTCCGGGTTAAACTATGAAATCCTAGAAAACCAGGGATAAGATTGGTTACAAGTTGCTCACGCTCAAACTACAATTCCCAGCATTCACTGAAACGCCGCGGTCGCAGTGCGCTCTGGGAGAAGTGTAGTTTGTGCGGAGACTGCGCAAATCTCTACATCCGAGTCCTGCGGAACTCATCTTGTGTGCAGTTATTTTAGCCGGTAGGATTTAAGAACAGCTTCATTTCCGGTACCACCGGAAGCAATTGGAAAATGGCGTCTTCTTTGCCGATCGGTCCCGTTCCAGCAGCTGGGAAAAGTGAATTTCGCAACCAGAAGTCAAAGCCGGAGAGCAAAGGTGAGGTTGTATGAAAAGTGAAGTCTTGGTTTTGTGGATATTGAATTGCGATTTTTTTTCTTTCCCTGTGTCTGGACGTATAAAGCCATCTGTAGCCTGTTTATGCAGTTAAGTGTCTGTGTACATACTATTGCTAATGGTGCCGGAGTTGACTGCGCCTGCAGGTATAACTGACCGGTATTCTGGCCTCATGTTTCCAGCTCATTCTTTTTGCCAAGTCTCCCCCCACCACAGCACCAATCCCAGTGAAACTATTGTGGAATCCGTTTCCTCTAAAAGAATGAGGATTTAAAAATTGCGGAGGGCGCTGTGGAAATTTACAGCGCGCTGGTGGCTGCAAGTCATTGACAGAGGACTAAGATCTGGTGGGACAGGTAATCTTTATATACGGAACGCTAATATTGAAAGACTGCAAGAGATAGTAATTAATATGGGGAAGGAGCTATATGGCATGCCCTTAACTCCATTTTTTTTCAGCAAATAAATTTTGGAACATTTATCATTATTCCTTTTTGTCAGATGGCCAAATATTAGACGATATAACTCTTAGACTTTAGACTGCCTTGTTTTAAAATTGCAATCTTGCATTGTAGTCTCGTTTATCATATCTACCTTCATTATGAATGAAAGAGACTATAGAAATAGCTGGGGAGCTGCTCGACCAATGTTGTAAGAAGTGGTATAAAGCTTGAACTCTCATTCAAAATGCATTGGGAAGATATTAAAGAGTTCTCAATTGTTGCTGTATTTTTATGTAACGTACATAGCAGAGACTGATATGAAGAGCAAAGTCAGCACTTGGGGGACTAGCGCTGAGACTGTGAGTAAATAAGGTTACCATATCCCAGAAGCTCTCTACATGCTTGTGTCAAATCATATTGTCCTTTCTGGGAACCTGCAATAACCATTCTGAATGGTGTTAAGCATTCTGTTACCTTTCTTTATACTCTTTATTGCCTGTTCAGCAAAATAGTTTAATTTTGCCTCTTTTTCAGTTTTACATGAATGAAAGTGACTTGTATGTATTCTTCTGTTTTGCCCCGGCTTGGCTTTATTTTGATTATTCAACCAGGGTGATACCTTTACTCTTTGTGGATGTTTTCTGTTAACATACTTAAGGGTTTCTCGATGCACTTAGGGTTGGAATTCTTAAAGTGCAGGGTATGTGTAAGTAATGCTAACACTTCCTCAAGGATTGTGCCAATTGTGATTCCCAATAGCAGTGGAAGAGAGTTCTCATCACTCTAAATCCATACTGAACTATGATATCTGAATTTTGAATTTGTTATTTTGATAGGGATGACATGATAATAGGTTGTTGTTTTACTTTGAATACCTCTGATTACAGATGAGTTTGACATTACTTTATATGTTTCTGAGCTATTTATATTTCCTTTATTATGAATCCCTTTTTTTATTTCTTTTGCTTTTTTTTGTTTCAGGATTGGTGTGGATGGCTTTTCTTATCAATTCATAGCTATAGAAATTGGATAGGGACTTTAAAGATGCATTTTAAGTAGAATTTGAAAAAAAAATTTCAAGATATTGGGGGATGAATGATATATGAGGATTACCTAATTCTCTTTAATTTGAACCAGAAGTAGCAAAGTGAATGTGACTAAAAGAAGAAGAAAGCAAGTTTACTTGACCTGGATCTATAACATGGGCTAAAGACCTGCTTTTCAAACTTTAGGGTGCTAAAGAATCTCCTGATAATATTGTTAAAACACAGATTCCTGGGCCTCTCAAAAGAGATTCTGATTCAGTAAAACTAGTGTAGGGTTCAAAAAGATTTCATGTCTAAAAAACTTCCAGTTTTTGATGATGTTACAAGTGGTGGATCATGCCTTTGAGTAGAATGATATTAGAGAGTAGCTATTGGATTTAAGGGGCTCCTAAAATCCAGGATTAGGAGCTCCAATAAGTGATTCAGGAGATAATGTTTTAGCCCTTAAAACATATTTTCTTTTAGTGAAAGAACCTAGACTGAGTCAGCTTTATTTTCCCTTAAGCAAGACTGAGTATCTTTTTCTATAAAATGAGAATAATAATACTGATCCTTCATGTCTGGCATATTTGCTATGAAAGCCATATAGAAATGGGGCACTGAAAGCTCTTTGGAAAAACCTAAAATCCTATTCAGGTAATTTTTCACTGACATTATACCCCAGAACGCGCACACACACACACACTCTCTCTCTCAAGTTCCACTCCAGGAAAGAAAGGTTAATATTTAAAATAGTGATATAAACAAAATTATATTTAAATCTTCAGCACTGTCGTAGTGTAATACAATAAGGTCTCTAGAGTACCCACTATCTGCTGGGCATGTGCTATTGAGTATGGAACAAGGAGGAGACTCCCTTCCCTTAAAGAACTGTCTTATGAGGTAACTGCAATGTATGGTGATAATTTTACACAGTGTTTGATAATGAGGAGGCATGTTCTTTGTTGAATAATATAAAAAGCAGGGAAGAAGTAATACAAAAAGAGTATTGGGAACCTTGTTAGTGTATATATAAAATGTTAACAGAGTGCCCTAAAGAACTTTAAAATGTGACCTGTAAATTTTTTCTTGCTTGTAGATGAATCGGAGCTCCTCACTGTTCCTGATGGTTGGAAGGAGCCAGCTTTTTCTAAAGAGGACAATCCGAGGGGACTCTTGGAAGAGAGCAGTTTTGCAACTTTGTTTCCCAAATATAGAGAGGCTTACTTGAAAGAGTGTTGGCCTTTGGTGCAGAAAGCCTTGAATGAACATGTAAGCATATTTTATACATTTCTTTGAGATTTTGCTCTCACATATGCCGAATTAAGTGAATGTGTGATCATGGATTTTTTTTTAAAGGTGCCACGTAGCTAGTTATTTTGGTTTCTTTGGTAGTTTAAACAGTCTAGGTAAATTTTATTCTTATAGTTTATTTTTACTTTAGTGAGTAATAAAATTACTTTGAAAAAGTCATATACCATTAATATTTTAGAGGTTTTATGAACTGTCAAAAACTTATAAAGTCCAAATTTCAGAATGCCTATTCTAGGCTATGATAGTTACCATATCCCTGTTCGTTCTGAACTGAGTCATGTTCCTAATTGCTTAATTTTCATTTTCAATAAAAGCTGTAGATGTGGCCAGCTATCTACTATTCTGTTTCTGTGGCCTTGTCGCTAGAGAAGTGTATTTGTTTTTTTGTTTTTTAAATTGAAGATTGAAACACATTAGTAAATTGAGAAGTCAAAGTGACTATAATGAGCCTTAAAAAAAAGAATGTATCACATATGATAAGTATTGTTTTATGAAGCTTATGGTTCAATTTTACATGTGTGTGTTTATATGGGTACTAGATTGTGATATAAAATGTATTTCTCACTGTGGGACTGTGCTGGAGTTGATTGTACCCCATTGTGAAGGTAGCCAGTCCACCTCCAGGCTGTTTTACAGCTATCCATATCTGAAATTAAACTTGGTCATCTTCTTCTTTTTTTTTTTTTCCTTGTAAATTCATAGATACCCAACCTTATGTTGAATCGTTCACCACTTTCTCCATTGAATTAGTCTTCAGATTATGCCATACAAGGCAGATAATTGCATTTTATTTGTGTGATCGAAGTCTAGTTCTTGCCATTGAGAGTTATCTCGAAAATATTTTGGAAGGAAAATAGATTGGAGCTGGGTCCAGGATAGTGAAGCTATACACTGTTACATTTTTATTCTAGGTGAAGTATTCTAAAGCCAAGTATAAATGGTTCAATAGCTTTGATTTGTTATATTTTGTGAAATATGAAATTAATCAAGTATTCATTACTTATATTTAACTACCCAGCTTCTTCAGGGAGGGAGTTGATAGAATTTGAGAGATGGCTTAATGGCATAGAAGTTAATAGCTTGGTTAGTACAGGCTATTTAATTATTTAAACTTGAATTCATTTTTAGACAACTGTTTGTTTGGTCTTTTCTCTTTGAAGCATGTTAAAGCAACCCTGGACCTGATCGAGGGCAGTATGACTGTTTGTACTACAAAGAAGACTTTTGACCCATATATCATCATTAGGGCCAGAGACCTAATAAAACTGTTGGCAAGGAGTGTTTCATTTGAACAGGTGAATTTAGAATTAGATTTACTTATATCAACATTAGACAACCTATAATGTATCTTTCCTACCTCCCTTCTTCCCTCCCCCTTTTCCTGCATCCTTTCACAATTGTGTTTTCATGTTTGCTTAGATTACAATTATTAGGCTAATGAGTAATTGTAAAAATAAGTAATTGTGAAGCATATTGATGTATTTTTATTTTTCCAAAAGGCAGTACGAATTCTTCAGGATGATATCGCGTGTGATATCATTAAAATAGGTTCCTTAGTAAGAAATAAGGAAAGATTTGTAAAAAGAAGACAACGGCTTATTGGTCCAAAAGGATCTACATTAAAGGTACTTTTTATCAGTGGAAAACTTGAGTTTCTTTTAATTTTTCATTATATTGAATTTAACTTAACTGTTCTTTCAATATAGGCATTGGAACTCCTAACAAACTGTTACATTATGGTTCAGGGAAATACAGTTTCAGCCATTGGACCTTTTAGTGGCTTAAAAGAGGTAAGAACTATTATCTTCAAGTAATCATTAGAGAACAAATGAAATGATTTGATTATAATTTATTGGATAATACATTTTAGAATTATATTTTTAGAATGTGTTTTGTTTGCTCGTTAGTAAATACTTTGTAAGGGAATCATCACCCATAACATATTTTGGCCAACCTTTGATGACTATGGAGACATCTATTTCTGAAATAGGCCTGTGCACCATCACTCTTCTTACTATAAAATTTAAATGGGTATTTAAGATCTTAGTCTATAACATGTGAGAAGTGTAGTATATTTACATATGTTCAAGTGATTGGAGAATTGAGCAGACATCTCATTACTTGCAATAATGTGTACAGCCAGTAAAGATCAGATTCTGAAAATATTTTTCTTCCAAGAATACATTTTTGCCGTGTGCAGGGTGCACACCTGTATTCCCAGTGACTTGGGAGGCTGAGTTAGTAGGAATGCAAGTTCAAAGCCAGCCTGAGCAAAAGCAAGGCTGCTAAGCCACTCAGTGAGACCCGGTCTCTAAACAAAATACCAAAAAAAAAAAAAATAGAGCTGGGTATGTGGCTCAGTGGTCAAGTGCCCCTGAGTTCAATCCCCAGTACCAAAAAAAGAAAAAAAATCTTTTTTTGTTTGAATTTTAGTAAGTATATTAAATATTTTCCTGAAACTTTAATTTGCCAAATGTTATGAGAAAACCTACAGCAAATGCTGTTTCTGTTAGCTCATTTTGTTACTGTCACAAAGCTGGAACAGGAAAGTCAAGTTACTTTCTTAAATAAAGTAGCAGTTTCAGTACTTGAACACTCATTTTCAGACTCTTATTTCCAATTCTTTTCTCCTTAAATCACACAGCTCCAGGAGGTTGTTGTATTGGTTCCAAGTACCATATTTCAGCACTAATAGAGAAACATTGTAACTAAGGGAGGTTGACTGCTATTATGAAATATTTAGCAGCCATTCAGAACAGTTAAAGGAATTATCTTCAATTTGATGATCATTCCTTGATTTATAGGCTGCCATGCAATATGTTAACTCCTCTTCTATCTGGTTTATTAAAATATTCTAAGAGTCTGATTTATTTTTCTTTGCAAATTTCAGGTTCGAAAAGTAGTTCTAGATACTATGAAGAATATTCATCCCATTTATAACATTAAAGTGAGTATTAATTGCATATGACTCTACCAGTGATTGTAAACTACTCTTAACTACAGAAACTTTTCTTGAAATTAAATTTTTTATGAGTCTAATATACAAATCTGATAATACAGCTAATTTGAGTGAATTAGAGGTAGAATTCAGCCCATTCAATTCCCCTAGTCCTCCTTTGGGGCTTAGATCTCCAGTGTAAAAATTATTGAAGAGAATACTATAATTTATTTTATAGCTCTGATATAATGAAAATAAGTTTCATAGAATTTATCGTAGATCATAATCAATTCAGTTTTCTTGAATTATAATCACATGTATTATATTTAAAGATGTGATCTTTCAAAATTTTGCCTATTTCTATTGAAACTGGAATATCTTAGATTACATTAAAACCTTTGGAATTGAACAAATTGTAGTCCCTCAGAAAGATCTGTTACATCCCTGTGTGCAAAAAGTTTGTGATTATACTTGGAAATATAATAGTATGATGAGCTCTGTTATTATGGTTATTTATTGAGCAATTCACTTAAACTTGATAAAGTTAAAAAAGTCACTTAGATTAGGTTAAAGTTATTTTGAGTAACATTGGAATATTACAGATAGAAAGCTAGTTGTGCATCTGATGCTTGGTTGGCTTTCTCTTAATATTCCAATGTGTATAAAATTCAAATGGAGTGGGGTGAATGTGAGAATAGTATTGACTTTTGACTAATCATCAAGACATTTTTTTTTCCTTTCCCTCTTAATGACTATTAAAAGTTTCCTGCTTACAGGAAACATCAGCTAATTAAGAATCCTATCTGCTATAATTAAGTTGAATTATAGAAGTTTTATTGGAATACTCACTGAAAAAACAAGTATCATTTTTATCTCTTAACAATTCCCTGTTTCTTAATGTAAATTTCTAATGATTTTCTGATACTTAACTGATTATACATATTTATGATGACATATCTTTTTATTAGTGCAATTGGTTAATTCTACTAAAGAGACTAGGAACTGTTCCTTTTAAAATTGTATTTGTAGAAGCAATATTTATTATAGTTTAAATAAATGTATCAATTTTGAAATTAAATTTTATTTTATGTGTATGACTGAAGACCTTAATGATTAAACGGGAATTGGCAAAAGATTCTGAATTACGATCACAAAGTTGGGAAAGATTCTTGCCACACTTCAAACACAAAAATGTGAATAAGCGCAAGGAACCGAAGAAGAAAACTGTTAAGAAAGCATACACGCCATTTCCACCACCACAGCCAGAAAGTCAGGTTAGTATTAAATGTTGAACTTTAGTATATAAAGGAAGAACTAATCTTATTTTGTTGGAAATTTTATTTAGGGTAGTTTAGGCGCAGGGAGGGAGAGAGAGTGCATGTTGTCTGGAGAGGTGGGAGAAGCTAAAGTGTAAAAAGGCACATTTTGAGCTAAATGCATGGAGTTGGGGAGTGGGGCCTTTACATTGTGAGTGAACTGCATCAAGATGTTTTTTTTTGTCAGTTGTGTCTCTGTAGCCAATGAAAATGTTCTATAGATTTTTAAAAATTCAGAGATTTAGCCCATAGTATCTCTACTTTGCTTCAGCAATATTCTTTTTTGACCCTGTTCTGTATGATTTTAGAAATCATAAATTCTAATATTCATTCTTTTTCTGAGTTATTTTCTTTTCTCTTTGTTTTCTTTCATGCCACTTTTTTTTTTAAATATTTTTTAGTTGTTGATGAATCTTTATTTTATTTATTTGTATGTGGTGCTGAGAATCGAACCCACTGCCTCTCGCATGCTAGGCAAGCGCTCTACCACTGAGCCTCAACCCCAGCCCCTCGTGCCACTTTTCCCTTCTGTCATACCTTCTAAGACTTGGATTAAGTCCCCAAACTTTCCCATAATGCACTACCATATGAAACTGGAGAAAATCCTGTCTGTGAATTAAATCTACTAGAGATTCATATTTCCATCCTTACATCCTCAGTATTATCTGGCAGCTCTTAATTCTGTCAACACCTTCTCACTCCTTGACTTTTCTGAAATATTTGAGGCCATCAGGAAAAACTCCTTCAACTTAACTCTTCTCTGTAATTCTTTTCCTCATCTGCATTAATTATTTCCATCTGTGTGAATTTCATCTATATCTCTGGTATTGCTTACGTATTCTCTCCTTTGCATATGTCTTAAAAATAATTCATCTCTACTAGTTGTTTTCTGCTCAGGATATAAACTCTTCCTTTTCTATCATCTTTTCTCCTCCTTATTTGGGTTTTTCAGGGAAAGTGTGATAAGAGGCCAAAGGGAAAAAGGAGTAGTGATCATGGTGAAAAAACAATGGAAATGTTAGCTCAAGGAGAACAAAGTGAGATCAGAAGGAAAATGATAGCTGAGAAGAGCATAGTGGAGCCAATCGCTAAAACCTTGCTTCCATAGCACCTGCCATACTTATTATGACCTGTTTTGTACTAATTGGCTGTTCTTTCTTCCTTACCTCTGCAAATCTCTTTTTACTTTTTTTTAATTAACATGTATTAACTATACATATTAACAGGGTTCAGTGTAATATTTATGTAAATGTATGTACACAGAGCCCAGATAAGACCTATCCTTCCTTTTTCTACCTCTACCCCCAGTCTAGTTCATGTTGCTACCTTTATGAGGAGAGAGAGTATTGACTCCACTGTTACCCTAAAGATGTTGTGACTTTCTTAGGAAATTACTTTTCATCTACATTATTTCGTTTTTTTAAATGTATTTATTTTTTTATTTGTTTTAATTAGTTACACATGACAGTTCAATGATCTTGACATATCGTACATTTGAATCAGATGGGGTATAATTTCTCATTTTTCTGAGTGTCCAGGTTGCAGAATTACATTGTTCATGTAGTCACGTATATACAAACAGCAATAATAAAGTCTATTTTATTCTGCTGTTCTCATCTACATTATTTCCAACATAATTATCAATATTATTTTCAATAGATTGATAAAGAATTGGCTAGTGGTGAATACTTTTTGAAAGCGAATCAAAAGAAGCGACAAAAAATGGAAGCAATCAAGGTAAGACTCTTTATGTCTTGCTGATGATGTTAGTAACAACATTCATAGATTCTGAATTCTTAAAACTAAACTTTATTTTACAAATGTACTTTTAATAACATAGGCTAAACAAGCAGAAGCTCTCAGTAAGAGACAAGAGGAAAGAAACAAAGCATTTATTCCACCTAAAGAAAAAACAGTTGTGAAACCTAAGGAAGGTAATGCTCATTTTTCACTTTTTGATGTAAAAAATCCATTGTCTATGAAAAGTAAATCCATAGTGAATTTATCTGAGTCTGTCGTGTTAATAAGTAAAGAAATAATCATATCTTTTATCAGTTGTCTTAGCATTTCCTTAATTATCAAGTCTAAGGACAAGAAGCGAATGAGATAATTTATAATTCAGAAGCAGCTAATGCATATTTTTAGAATATCCAGAGTACCAGTTCTTCCCCATTCTCTGACCCACGCTTGGGAAAGATAAAAACCCAGAGTAATCTTTGTATATTATATAAGAATAGAAGTAATGTAAATTTTGCTATCATGATTCAAAGAGGGCTTTCAGAGAAACTGTTTTTCTCTTTATTTATATGATCTGTGGCTTAAGATTTGTTTCTATGTTGTTAACGTTGAGTACTTATTACTAAACAAAGTAACGACAGGAGATTTTCTAGCCTCATTCTAAAGTAGCCCTCCAAAACTGTCAGTGCACATTGTTTAAACTGTCATGCCATTTCCTAGCAACATGTACATAACCTGTTAATTTATTTTCAGTTTGTGCAATCTGTCAGTTAAGTACTTTGGATATCTAGTAGCTAGTTAACCTCAGCCTGTGTTAACAAGAATGTAGCTGCTTTGTAGTGGAGTATGTAATGGAGGCTTTAAATCTCTGTGCATCTCAAGTGACTAGGCTGTACATATGGTGACATTTTATTTTGGGATTCTTTCATGTTCTTAAATACTGTGTGTAAATGTAAACAGATGCATTTTTTTTTCATTTTTGTCTTTATTTTGTTCATGTTTTTGGCATTGATTAGATGCTGTTGTGTTGTTAGGAAGACCTCCAAATACTCTGGAGCTATTGTCTTTTTTTTACAGAAAGCTTGTTAATACTAATCATTAATGATAATATTGGAAAGCCTGAAATTTTTGGGGGGGTAGGAGGTGTGCTGGGGATTGAATACAGGGCCTTGTGCAAGTGAGGCAGGCACTCTACTAACTGAGCTATAACCCCAGGTCAAGCTTGAAGTTTTTGTTATGGTCCTAGATGAAGTAGATTTTGACCTGTAGCTTCATGATTTGCTTATTAAAATTATTGAAGCTGGAAAAGCTACGTGTAATATTTTTTATAAAATGTAACTTTAAATTATTTCAGTGTGTAAGATGGAAAATTGATATATTAATGAGTAACGTTTCAAAATAAGGAAAAGAATGTAAATAATCTCAAGATTTAGGGAAAAAAAGATTAATTAAATTCAGTAATTGGTACAAATTGTTTAAACTGTCATGCCATTTTCCTATGAACTCTCACTAGTGCATATTTAGAGACTATGATTTGAAGAAATTTCTAACTTTAGCAACATGTTGTATATTTTATAACAACCTTTTGGTTATTAAAATAGTGATCTGAAATTATTATCTAAAACACATTGTTTTAATTTTTATAGAATTGCATACATTTTCTTTTTAATTTTTGTAGCATCTACTGAAACTAAAATTGATGTGGCTGCCATCAAGGAGAAGGTTAAGAAAGCAAAGAACAAGAAACTGGGAGCTCTTACAGCTGAAGAAGTTAAGCTTAAGGTGGAAGCAGATGAAAAGAAAAAGAAGAAAAAAAAGTAACATTAAAAAAATAACCAAAACCCCCTAAACTAGAATTTATAAAACTATCTCCTTTTGTAAAGGATTTTGAGATATTAGGACATTAGTTGTCCTATGTGTGAGAAATAATATTTCTGAGTTTCATATAATAATATTCTTTATAAATATATTCTTGTGTATTTTGAAAAATTTTGTGCTAGAAAGTGCTATGTGTACATTGTACTTAATCAGGCAGGTTTTGCCTAAGCATGAGTTTAGGAGTAACTTTTAGGTTTTTTTTTTATATATACATTTTTGGAACGTGACTATTGTAGTTTTTCATTAAATCCAAAGTCTGATGTCATTGGTTAGTTTTTAAACATAATCATGTCCCAGCATTTGGTTTTGAGGAAAATAAATGCCAGTTTTTCAGTGCATTCTCTCTCCCTGATTATCCCTTTTTACAATTTTGTTTTATTTTAAGAGTAAACAGCTCATAAGCAGAAAATCAAGGCCTCTGAAATCAAACACTTCAGTTATCAAGTCGGAGGAAGTGTTAAACCAGAAAGATACCAAATTGCAAGAGAACAGGGAAACCAGGTATATTGAGCTAAAGCAGCATGTAAGAAGCACCAATCACTGGAGTTAACTTAGAATCACATAAGTCTAGCTCATTAATTTTATAGATTTGGAAGCTAAACTAAAGCACAGGAACTAGATTACATATGGAAAGCCCAGTGGTGGCAACCTGAAAACAATGCTTATTCATAAAAAAGTGCAAAGTAAAGATGAGTTTATTCTATAATTAGGAAGTTGAGCCATTTTTATTTTGAGCAAGTCTTTACTGCAGCAGTGTATTTTTTAAAAATAATGTTTTAAAGTGGAAATTAGAAATACACCCAATTTTTACTTTTTTAAAAAAGCCATATTTATAAATCTCTCCCTCCCCCCCAGACTGCATTAGTCTAAAAGACTTAAATTAGGGTATTTTTTCTTTATCCAAATGGTAATTATAACAGACATTATTAGAATTATTGAATTAGCAATAAGAAAGAGAGATGTGTATCTGTTTCGTAAAAATATGGGCCAGGCTGGATCCACAAGAGAGTAGTAACCTGTGAAATAAACATAGAAAGTCCTCTAAGACATTGTTTCTCATAATGGAATGACATAAATTACATAGTGCTTAATGAAACAATTTAGGATGTGTATACATACGTGTGACCTTGTCTCTCTTTGGATTAACTGTGAAGTCAGGGAGAATTAAAAAAAAAAAAAGTTAGGTACAGGTAAGATTTTTATTTAAAAAAAAAAAGTGTAACTGTTGATTTCATTGCAGTGATTTTCAAATGATTTAAGAATTTTTTTGTTTATATATGACAGCAGAATGCATTACAATTCTTATTACACATATAGAGCATAATTTTTCATATCCCTGGTTGTATACAAAGTATATTCACACCAATCTATGTCTTCACACCTGTTCTTTGGATAATAATGATTATCACATTCCACCATCATTAATAACCCCATGTGCCCTCCCTTCCCCTCCAACCCCTCTGCCCTAATAGAGTTTGTCTATTCTTCCCATGTTCCCTCTTCCTATCCCACTATGAATCAGCCTCCTTATATTAAAGAAAGCATTTGGTTTTTTGGGGATTGGCTCACTTCACTTAGCATTATCTTCTTGAACTTCACCCATTTACCTGCAAATGCCATAATTTTATTCTCTTGTATTGCTGAGTAATATTCCATTATATATATATGCCACATTTTTTTTAACCATCTATTCAGAGAAAACATTCAGCCTTTGGATTTTTAGGATTGTCTTACTTCACTTAGCATTCCATCATTTACCTCCAAACGCCATGATTTTATTCTCTTTTAATGCTTCCATTGTGTATATATACCACATTTTATTTATCCTTTCATCTACTGAAGGGCATCTAGGTTGGTTCCACAGTTTAGCTATTGTGAATTGTGCTGCTGTAAACATTGATGTTGCTGTGTCCCTGTAGTATACTGTTTTTAAGTGCTTTAGGTATAGACTGAGGAAAGGGTTAGCTGGGTCAAATGGTGGTTCCATTCCCAATTTTCCAAGAAATCTCCATATTGCTTTCCATAGTGGCTGCACCAATTTGCAGTCTCACCAGCAGTGTATGAAAATACCTTTTCCCCCACATCCTCGCCAAAAGAATTTTTTTGTCCTAACTGTACTAACATTGTATTTTTAAGTCTGCTTTTTATATGAACTTTTTATACAGAGGAAACTATCTATTATAAATAGAAAATTATCTTACATAACTATATCCTTCAGATAATAAATACAATCAAGAGTAAAAAAAATGTAAAAATTTAAATCATATTAGAAATAATCAACATGAGCAGTTTATCAAAATATTTTTCTTGAGAATGGGTCCTTCCCTGAGAACAACGATATTGTGAATGCTGAATCAATACTAAAGGGACAGTAGCTTCTTTCATCCATTCCAGTTTATCACTAAGTCATCATTAGGACTTTTGGCTTATTAAAAGCGGTAACTATGCTCTTTTTTTTACTGAGCTTTATTTAGATTTTTTATTTCAGAGTACTGGGAGGAAATAAGTCCCACAACTGCCTTTAGCCTTCTTGATTTTTTTGTTTTATTAAATGACCTTTTCCACACCAGTTGTACATCAGTTGCTCTTGGGTTCCTGTAATGGAAGCCGTCAAGGACCTAGCCCTCTGGGCACTTGTGAGCATCTTTGAACATCATCATACCTGGGAGTGAGCTTTGTGCTGAGTTACCATGAAGCTGCTACCCTAACTTTTTGCAATTATATCCATGAATTCAAGGATGTGATATTCTAATTATTTTTTTCTTGTATATATTTTTAAATATTCAACAAATATACATCTTAATATACATCTACTAGCTAAAATTACCTTTGTATCACGGGTGTGCTTGACATGTGTTGCAAAACAGTTTGGTATGGCTTCTTGGTATTTATTGAACTACAAATAGTATCTAGAAGACTATGAACAATTTTTTTTTCTGGTGTTTGCCATAATTTGTGAGTTGAAATCTGTTAAATAAAAGGTTTTATCTAACTTTACCCTACTCAGACTTCAGGATAAAAGGTGGGATGGGGATGGTTATCCTTTCATTTTTTAAATTATAAATCCTGTCATTCCCCGCTAGTGCAGAAAAATGGAATGCTTTCAAGGAAGCCAACATTTTACAGAAAAATTGAGTTTTCTGAAAATTAGTGGCAGAATTAATCTGGAGGATGCTATGGTAAATGGGTGATATGTTTTACAATATCTTGTAAATATGCAAGTTAGCATGTGCTTTTACCCTTAGGAGCTCAGGGATTTTCATTCTTGGACTAGAGCTTTAATCTGAGTTTTATCTCCCAAGATTAGAGACCATCTCAAGTTTAGAGCTCCAAAGATCCAAAATAAACTGTCAGCAATATTATTGTGATGGCATTACTAATTATGTAGAAACTTTAAAGGGAAAATGTGATTTTACCCTAAGTTATTTCACCAAACCCATGAGGTGATACTATCAAGCACATTTTATAATTATGGAAATAGGTTCAGAAAGTTGCCTGAGGTCACAGTGGTAGAACTGGACACTGAACTGGAAACTGGCATATGGTTCTAAAATCTATGGTTTTAACTCGTATATTATACTGTCTAATGTGGAAGAAACTTACACACAGATACACACTTGTGTGTACATGTATGCTTTGTTGTAACACTCTAAAAGAATTTGGTTAACATGTTGTATTCTCAGAAGAGATTAGTTGCATTTTGGATACATGTTACTGGGTTTTCCTAACAAACTTGATGTTAGTGGAATAAAAAAAAAATGGTTGGACTGAGGGAAAAATAACTGGCTTAGAGAGTTGATCCAGAAAGTGCCCCTATGCCTGGAGTAAGGTTTACAGTTTAATGTTTACAAATAGGAAGGAAACAGCAATTTAAAAGAATCCTAATTTTGTGTGTGAAAGGAATCTTAGGAAATGTAAGCAATGCAACATTTTTTTTTCCAAATGAAAATTTATGCTCACTGTCCTATCCTAAGCATCCCACCCCAGCCCTGCTGTTCTGAGCAGTTGAGTTTGTTACAGATAAAGGCACAAAGTGTTATGTGATTTGCACAATAGCTTACTCGAGGTTTCCCTTCACACCATGAGAAAATAAAGGATATTTTAAAAGATCTTCTTAAAGAATATCTCAAATTTTTCTTAAACATATTTATTTCTAGAATGGTAAGCCATTGGATTGGTTACTCCTCGATGCCAATTTCCTCGAAAACAGCTATTAGGATAAAATAATTACACTCTTAACCATAGAGAAAGGCATCATAGTTTCTATTCCATTATTTCATTTGTGAGTTGTTCCTTTTACTCACCACAGAGATTTTGTAAACATTTGTCATCTGGAGGACAAGCACTGCAGGTGTATCCCTTCTGGTATGGCCAAGTTGGATAATTTCCTCTGAAAAGCAGAAGCCTGTCTATTAGTAGAGTTTTTGTTTCTAATTACAATTTTCTGTGAATCCTTGACCAGATCCAGAATGATAATAAGGTGGAAGTGAAAATTATTGAGAACCTTGTAGGCAACCAGTAGTTAATAACATGTGAAGAAAAGGAAATAAGTAGAAACTACTAGTATGTGGAGGGTTCATTCAATGGCCCTCTTAATTTATATTATTTCACTTCTGACAATTCTGGGAAGAAGTTATTTTTATTTCTGAGGATCTAATAGATTAGTGACTTGCCCTAAATCACAATTTACACATACCTGAGTCAGGAGGAAAACTAGATTTGTCTGACACCAGGGCTGTGCTTCCTCTACTGTTTTCTGGCCTGTGTAATTGCTGTCATCCAAAAATCTGCCCATCTCATGAAAGCTATCATGACCTGTATTTACACTCATTATTCAACCTAGCCACCATAGTTTTTATTGGATAGGAAATGCCTTTCAAAATACACACACACACACATAGAAAATTCTGAATTACAGGTTGTTTTCACATAAAAGATGATCTGTGAATCATAGCTAAATATCGGTCATTCACTATGTGTTAGGCACTGTTTTAAGCATCCTTGAATGAGATAATCTTCACAACATTTCTGTGAGGATGTTACTGTTTTTTATTTATCCCTATTAGATAGCTAATGGCTTAGGCACAGTACAAATAACTGACCAAGGTCACTGATAGAAAGTGAAATTATATATATATATTTTTTTAGAGAATTTTTTAATATTTATTTTTTAGTTTTCAGCAGACACAACATCTTTGTTTGTATGTGGTGCTGAGGATCGAACCCAGGCCACATGCATGCCACGCGAGCACGCTACCGCTTGAGCCACATCCCCAGCCCCCGAAAGTGAAATTATATATAAACATTTTATATTCCCATGAGCACCTAAAGAGTAGCAATGCTCACAGGCTTGGTACATTATATCAGCAAATCTACCATTGCACTAATTTTTTAAACTCTGCTTTTGGAATGTGGTTCTTCTTCTTTGACTTTTGATAGCTTGGTAAATCCTATGGACTCTTAAAATAGGATGATTTTTAATTGCATAAAATACGTAGGAACGTGGGAAACTGATTAAACAGAAATAAGCATCAAAATGTTGAAAAAAGAATCATGATATAGAAATATGTGCTTTTCTATTAAGTATTAAACCAGATCTAGCAGGTTCTAATATTGTAAGTAGTTTCAAATAAATGTTAATTATAAATATTTTTAGGTATCTGCAGCAACTAGAGTTAATGTGAAAATAACTACTATTTTCAGAGACACAGATATTGTTAATACAGAGTCACAGTGCTAAAAAAGCCTAGTCTGTTGTCTTCATTCACAGTGGAAGGAATTTTAATTTTTTTCTGAACCATGTTCATGAACTCCCGTCCCAGTAAAACTATACGTTTAACTGTAGTGTTAAGAAGCCCCCAGTTAGAGGCTTTATATTAACACCTCATTTTTTTTCAATCCAAGATATATGTTCTAATCTCATTTGGCTTCACATTATTGGTTGCTTCAGAAGTGAAATTTATCCTTGTACTGTATTATCAAAGCAATATAGTAGAAATTCTAATAGCAATCACAAAAGATCCAAATTAGACGTTAGTCTTGGAATATCTTTCATTGTTAAAAAGCATAATACTCATTAAATTGTTTAAATTCTAGATGGTTTTAACAAAATCATTTATGCTACCTTATGCTTCAACTATGCATTCCAAACTGTAAAGGAGAAGGAAAACATTGCTACTTAAAAATAAGCTAAAAACAAGATATTTGTGAGATGTAGGTAAAGTGAAGAATGCATTTGGGAAAAGCATGCTACTAGAAAGATCTGGGTTTGTCTAAGTGAAAGTGATTATGACAAAGAGATCTGAAGTATTCTATCCAGTGAAGAAGCAGAAAGCTTTAGTATTTTTTTCTAGTACTTTGAGAGAAGATTGGGACACTGGGGAAGAGAAGTTAAATATGATTAAGGGTTCCCAAGGCAGAGATGGCCAAACCATACTAGCTACTGTTCTTGTAATTAAGGTCATTTCCTCCTCTGTGTTACTGTCCTGTTCTCCACTAACCACTCTGGGTAGAGATCTGTTACCATGGCTTTGCTGAATGATGCCCAGGGGAATGAAGAAGAGAGAGGTACAGGTGACTGGAGAATTAAGCATCCTATTCCCCTTCTGAGGCATTCACAGAAACACTGGGGAAATACTGGATTATGTGAAGTGGGGGTGTATGGCTTTGAAGATATAAGAAAAGGCCCCAGAAGGCAGAAGGAAATGAAGACCTTCCTAACTGGCCCCTCTGTCTTCTGCCGCTCTAGTTCCTTTTCCACACTTCACAGACTGATCTCCAGATTTAAAGCAGATCTCATCATGAGTCCCCTGTTTAAGATACTTTGATGGGTTCCTCTACTGACTTGACTAAAGTTAACCCTCGCCATGATCTACAAGGCCCTGTGAGATCTCTGCTGCCATCTTCCCCTTGGATTCATTTCACTCAACGCTCTAACACCCTGGTCTCTGTCCATGCTTCAAACTTGCCAAAGTCCTCTCCATGTAAGTTTTGCAGTTGTTCTCCCCTCTGCACAACTCTTCCTGCAGTTCTCCCATCTGATTCCTTCTCATTTTTCACACCTAAACTAAAATTATCACAGAATGTCCTTCCCTGATCATTTTATTTTAAATAGGGTCTTTTCCAGTGGTAGTTCCTAATAGAGTATTATTTATATTCTCTTAGTTTCCCCATTTTAATGCAGTCATATATATTTTTTGATCTGCCTCATAAATATAAATAAGGGCAGAGACTGCATCTGGCTTGCTCTTCTTTGAAGTTTAGTAAAGAAATATTTGCTGAATAAATGAATGTATGAAGCTAACTCAATTTTTATAGAAACATAACTTCAAACATAAGTTTCACAACAATGTTTATAACCAAAAGTAAGTAAAGTGATTCTGTACTAGAATTCACACATGCAATTAATAATGAGAATAAAATTAATAAATACTTATGAACAATCACCAGTGCCAGGCATTATACATACTTGGTGTTTTTACATAGCTTTCTATGACTCTTATAGCTACGCTAAATATAGATGCTATTATTATTTTGATTTTTGATAACAAAACAGATTCAGAGAATTAACTAATTCGTCTCTGGTCACATGGTAAATTAACTGTACCTTAACCATTAAACTGTCATGAAAAACTTTCACTGGTTGAATTAAGGTTTTGTCTACCTTTTCTTTGGTTTTCCTTATTTTCCAACGATGGAATCTTAAGTCAAATTTGTTCTTTTCTGAAGGATACTTGATTTTAGTTCCCTTCCCTCCAAACAAAACTCAAGGGCAACAAATTAAAGAATACAATGTTACATATGTGGCGAATGGTTAAAAAGCCTTAAAATATAAACAGCTAATATCAGTCATTAAGAAAACCACTCTAAAAGAAAAATGGGCAGATCATATGATTTACCAAGAAGGAATATAAATAGACAATCAGGTGAAGAGATTTTATCATCATTAGTAATCAGAGATGCAAAAGAAAACAAATATAATTTCTTTCAAGTTAGAAAATACTTATAATGCGCCAGGGTGTGATGTTGCATGACTATAATTCCAGCTACTCAGGAGGCTGAGGCAGGAGGGTCACAAGTTCTAGGCCAGTTTCAGTAACTTGGTGAGACCCTAAGCAACTTAATGAGACTCTGACTCAAAATGAAAAATAAAAAGAGCTGGGGATGTGCCTCAGTGGTTAAGCAGCCCCTTGGGTTCAATCCCCAGTATAAATTGAAAATAGATGATGAAAAGTAATTTGGTAAAAGGTATTAAAAAGTTAAAAAGGGTCAAGTTACTAGTATTACTCCTAGGAATTGTAGGAACATAAAAGTGACTGAATATTTCTGACTATAGTTGTTCATCACAAAATACAGAACAATCTAAATTCTTCACTGAGATTAACTGTTTTATTAACTATCAAGAGCACAAACTGAGATAGACAGCCAGATCAGAGGCCAGCCAAGACATTTACTCCCTTTGCTTATGCCTCAGTTTCCTCATCTGCAAAACAAGATAAAGGTGTAACTTTTTTTTTTACATTTCCTAAACTTTTAATGAAGATTAAATACATGTAAATTATTACTCAGAACAGTGCTTGGCATATTGTAAGCATTATATAAAACATCAATGATTTTATAATTATTGAAATTGAGTTTCAGGTTTAAATTAAGTGACAAAGACATGGTATAATTTTAAGTAAAAAAAAATACAAAACTTGTATTTACAGCATGGTAACAGTTTTTTACATATGTTTACAATACACAAATGTACATACCTATACATGTATCTGGGTATGTTATGTGTGTTTATTATTTATTATGTTATGTGTTTATTTTAAGGATATGGTAAGGTCACTTCCCACTTTTTGCAAAGGGTGAAAACATTTTTCATTTAAAAAACAGAACTACCAAAAGTATGAAGTTATATAAATTGAAGAACTTTAGTTCTTTTGTTTAGAAGATTCTATAAAATTTGCAAATTTTTAATAAACTAATACAAAATTGTCCCATCTTGTGTTATTACCATATCAGACTAGTTTGTGTCCCTGATAAACACTTGAGTCTTGCTGCTTTTAAAAATATGTGTATTTAAAAAGAGTATAGAAACACAGAAAAAAGTACCAGAATGTTAATGGAGTAGATCTCTGGGCAGAGTAATTAAGAGTTATATTAATTTTCTTCTCTATACTTTATTAACTAGATTTTCTAAAATGAATATGAATACTTTTAAAATATAACATTAACTTTTAGAAAGAGGTTAATTCAGGCACTTACGCTGGTCCATAGTTGCATATAAAATGTGCTCCATTGGAAAGACTTTCAAAGCCAGAAACTCTAGGACAAAACTGTACTGCACAGCCAACCTTGTAACTGTCTGCCCAGACAACCTGAAAATAAATGAGGATATTAACACAGAGGAAAACAGTGAAATGAATGTTTGGGTATGATTAGGCCTTAAGCAACTTAATAAGACCCTGCCTCAAAATGAAAAATAAAAAGAGCTGGGGATGTGGCTCAGTGGTTAAACATGGTAAGCTATATTTGCTCTATTTAGTTAAAGTACTTACTACCAAGGAAGTTTCAGGTGCTCAAAATTCAACTGGAAACAAGATCTATAATTACTGTCATCAGTGGTGATGGTGGTAGTCTGTGTGTATGTGTTTGAGAGAGAGAAATAAACATATAAACAAGATAATTTTGAGTTACTACAATGAAGAAATAAAACAGGGTTAACAATAAAGAGTAATCAGTGGGGAGAAAGGGGGCTGATTTAACAGGGGTGTTCAGAGAAGCCATTTCTGAATGGGAGGCATTCGAACTGGGACATGAACAATGAGGGTAGAACATAGAGGCTAATGGTTTAGGAGACCTCATCTGGGGGAGAGTTATAGACAATTAGCTCAAAGGCAGGGGAACCAACCATGAAGATTCTTGTAGGTGAGTGACTGTTTTTTTTTTTTTTATCATAGCAAGAACCCAGTAGCAATTAGGAAGTAAAGACACTGAAAAGAGCATGGTAGTAAGTGCTTTAACAAAGAGGTAACTTTGGAGGCTATTTCAGTGTTACAAGAATGAAACATGGTAACTCACACTTGGGTGATGGCATTCCTGAGGACTGATCAAGTTCATGGCTCAGCTTAGAAGCGTAGGTGGAAGGATTTGCTTTTATTATGGATGTGGGAAGCATTTTAGTTTGGGACCTAAGCAACATTTATTGAAATGTTTCAAACTAGAGAAGAAGCAAGGTGGGTAGGAGCATGGGCAACAGTTCTATTCAGGATATTTGCTGGACTTAACCATTTTCAGTTCAGTGAACAGCGTAAGGTTAGAGGTATAAAGACATGAGGCTAGATTACATCACATAGGCAAAGAAATAGATTATGAAAAATTAAAGCAGAGCTTGGGACCAAGAAAAAGGCAAGAGCAGCAAATCAGATGCAAAAGTAGTCAGTGATGTGGAGGGAAATCAAGAGTGGAGACAGCTTCAGGGAGAGCAGCCTGTGCTGGGAAGTTGAATCCAGGCCCAAAAGAGCTCCGTATTTGGTTAATCAAAACTGTTGCATAATCTCGCACCAGCAGTGGGACTTTTCCCTTGCTTTTTGAATGAAGGAGTATACATTTTCAGTTTGCACCAGGCCCCACAAATTATGTAGCTTTACCTGACAAAGAGTGTTTGGTGTCATAGACGACTAAACAAAGTATTTAAAGAGTCAGTAGCTGAAGACAAGCCAACAATTAAATGCATTCCTTTTTACAGTGGTACTGATTTACATTTTAAATTATTTTTTTTTACCATAGTTTGTTGAGTAATTTTGTGATAAGAATTGTGCTAAATATGGGGGTGTAATAGTGGAGGAGCTAGAGCCAGCAGGTGCTTTTGCAAAAATATAGAGGAAATCAGTCCTGCAACCATTACATAAGAGTGTTGACCATCGTGAAGGGATCTAAGGGCATATGTAGCATGGAGCCCTTTTCCAAGGAAGCAAGTTGGAGCTGGAGAGGGCAATACTTCATGTGAACCCAAAGAGGAAAAGATTCGTTCACAGAATTAAACCATGGCCAGGGTAACTGCAGAAAAAAATTTATTCCCTGGAAAAATAGTGAAGAGTGAGGGGAGAGGGGGGCTGCGGATGCAATATGAGTTCTCCCAGGGTTTACATGTGGCATTGGAGGTGAAGGAGTATTTAGGGACGTGATCATAGTACCAGTGAGGACAGCTGCTTTTTCAGACTGTCTTTTTCTCTTGGTTTGGCCACTGCAGAGGATCTGGAAAGGCATTTCCAACATCCCAGAGAAGAGGAGCAGGACCCTCTTTTAGAAAGGGATAGTCCCTTCTCTGTGGTCTAAATGGAGTATTTCCTGAGGAACATTTCTCTGCATATCACATTCCAAGGAATCCTCTACAAGGAACCCCAGCCGACAGAGGCATAGAAGTCGCTTAGGCTTCCATCTTACTGAGAGAATCTAGCTTTTGGAGTGGCTATTGTTCCCCAGGTTTGATTCTTAATCTTTTGCTTTTCAATTATTTTTGTTTTACTTTGAAATTTTCTTAATTTTTATTTATTGGATTTCAAGCTGATCTTGCATGGGATGATTTGCAGAATTTGGGGTTCATCTCAGAACTCTGGCATCAAAGTCACTGGAATTGTCCTTAAAATCTATTTGAACAAGTTCTTCCGGTGATTCTTCCACATGCTACCTGGGTTCAATGTGGTCTCTGTTCCTGGCTTTCACCTTAGCTTGATATGTTTTATCTTTTGGTCTTTAAGTACTTCCTTCCATAGAGTCATTACATCTCAAGTATTTTTTAATGTTTATAACACTGTATCTTTAATGCTATTTTTGTCCAAAAGTGTACAAATTTTAGTTAGCATTTATTATATGTTTTACTTGGTATGTTAGTCAACTTTCTGTCCCTGTGACAAAAATACCTGAGAGAATAAGGAGGAAAGGCTTACGGTGGCTCATGGTTTCAAAGGTTTCAGTTCATGGACAGTTGACTGTTGCCTTTGAGCCTGTGACAACATAGTAAGTACATCATGAGAGGAGCATATAATAGCCAGAATGCAAAGAGAAAGAAAGGAAGCAGCCAAATCCCAATATTCTCTTCAAGGGCATACCTCTCAACGATCTAACTTCCTTCCACTAGACCTCAATACTAAACATTTTACCCGTCTCCTGATACCGCCACAGGCAGTATTAACCTTTAACACACGGGAGACATTCAAGATCTGAATTCTAGCATTCTGCCCCTGGTCCCCAAAGACTCATGTCTGTCTCCTATTGCAAATTCATTTATTCCATCCCAAGAGTCACCAGAGTCCCAAATATTTTAGTATTGTTCAAAAAGTCCAAAGTTCCCTCTGAGAGTCAAAGCAAACAGCTATGAGTACCTACAATAACACTAATAAAAAATGACACAGGATATACAATTCCATTCAAAAAGAGAGGATAAGTAAAAAAAAAAAAAAATTAGACCAACACAAGATTTAAAACTAGCAGACAACATCAAATCCTATCATTCCCTGTCTAACATCTGGTGGACAGGGTGGTGTGATGTGAGCTCCGAACAATTTGGGCAGCCCCAGCCCTGCTATCTTGGGGTTGTAATATGGCCCACATGACCACCCTCACAGGTTGGCTTTACTTGCTGCCTCAGCTTCCCTCAGCAGGCATTCCTCGTTCCTGGCACCTCTAACTTCCTGGGGTCTCCATTGTGGTTTGGCTCACTCTCCCAGCTTCATGTATCATTCTGTAAGAGACTGCTTTCAGGGGCTTGCACACTTTCACACACTGCCTGGCCTACCGGGCTTTACTTTGAAATCTTGGTGGAAGCCTCTGTGACACCGTCTTGCATTCCGCATGTCTATATACTCACCATCACACTGACCACTCCAAGAACTGCTGCCAGCCTGGGTTGCACCAGACACACTTAAACCATGGCTCCAGTGTCCTGTGAGTGCCTTGATGACTGAACAAGGTAAAAAATTTTGGGAAAACAATTCCCTGAGTGGCCCTGTGTCAGCAGGGTGCCATGGGGCTATCTTCTCAAAGGAAAGTCTTTGAAATTATTTTATACTTTTTAGTACCTGACATCCTGTGATGGGTAGGATCTGCCTTTTCCAGAGATGCTCTCAGGTCATCTTTCCAAATGGCCCTGTGCAAAACACTTGGCTTCTTTTTAATGGTGTTTTGACACTATTTTCTGTAGATAAAGATTGGAAGCTAATTTTGCCTGATCACAAAGTACAGTAAGGACAGTATATGCCCTGAGCAAGATGCTTTCAGAGTGTTTTTCCATATGAAATCCATCCAGAACCTAGGGATTCTATGCTTTCTAACAAGTTTTGCATCAGGGGAACCCATATGGGAGAGCCATATCTCTCTTTTTTTTTTTTCCTCTAACAATTTCTTCCCACCATCTTTACCCTTTCAATTCTCAGCATGGAGCCATCTGAATCATTATCAGAAGCATGATAATATCATAACAGCATAAGACCTGCCCGAGAAATTGTGAAATTTTCATTGTTGCATGAGAGTGTAAGAGTGTAAGAAAAATTTCAGGAGGGTGAATGTGTGAGGAAATCGAGATTAAAAACAAAAATAAGATGAATAGTGCCATCTAGTGGGAAGCTCTGGCACTATCAGACCCAAGTAATCTACACTGCCAAACTGTTCTCAAATTTTTCCAAAATGGACTGGCAGCAACAAAACATATGATTTGATTGATCTTCTATATTACCACACTAAAATTATTCCTTAATAATAGGCTGTCTCCAGTGAATATAAAGCTAAAGTGTTAAATTAACATGTCAAGAAATATTAAACCTTTTGTGGGGAGATAATTTATCTGAATTTATTCTTTTTATTCTGTATAACCAGCCAATATAGACCAAAATTTATAAATAGCTCAATTTTCAACAGAAGATGAGGATAAGTCAGGAGTTACTATATCCACTCAAGGTAAATTTCTAGCATGAATTTAAAATGGCAATTGAGTGATCTTGAATCTATCAGCAAGATTTCTCATAAAAATAAAAATGGACTCCTAATCAAGCTATCAGATCCTTTTCCAATATTACTCTGGGAAACTAGCCCATGGATGGATCTAACCTTTGTTCACTGCCTTCAAAGTACAAATCTCACTCCGGAGTCCTAGAAAACAGAGCCTAAGTCAACAATATGCTAACACATTTTTAGGGCATAATCTCAAGAAAAGTGGGAGGTAAAACATGTAGGGAATGAGACAGGGAAGGAGGGATACAGTCTGGATTGGTCCCTAGCCCTCAGGAGTTGGTCATATTTTGGAAGAGACATTATGTGTAAATGGTTGTGTTACAGTGCTTGGCTAATGTTGTTCACAGTTACTGACAAGGTACCAATGAGCGAAGAGGACAGAACAACTCTCCAGCCAAGGGTGGGGTGTGTGTGCAAGGCTTCATGTAGCAAGAAAAACAGAAGCTGGTTCATGAAGATTGAGTCAACTGAAAAGGAAAACAATTCCAGGCAAAATTAACAAGGTGTAGAAGGTATCTCTCATATAATGTGTATGAATGAGCCTGGTACTTCAGATGATTGACAAGTAGCTCAGCATGCAAAATATATAGAGGTTAGAATACAGTTAAATTGAGAACAGACTCCTAACCTCTGCATGCATATTCAAGTAAGGCATAATATCTATCATTACAGGGAGTCAAAATAAGAGAAGGAAACTTAAATTTATGCCACAGAGGCCTCAGATTTGAGAGATGGATCTTCCCAAATTAACTGAACTTATTTGTAAATTGTTGCTTTATATCTAGGTGGAAAAGAGAGGGCTAATATTTTAGACACAAAATAGCTATTAGAGCCCCTTCTAAATGATCTTAACCTCTTCTCATTAAGAGACCACCCTATTCTGCCCCTACTTGAAAAGAGGACTCTACTCATGGGGAGAGGCCCAGAGATCCCTGGGGTCTGGGAAGACAAAGCTATAGCAACCACTTTCATAGTGACTGTAGGGTTTAGTTCTCTACATTGAAGACCTAATTCAGTTCTCACCACAGACCCATAAAGGGATGATATCCAAACCAACAGGACCAGAGAGGTTAAGAAGTTACCTCTTCAATATCATTTAGCTAGTAAAAGTTCAGATTCAGATATCAGATGTTATAAGGTTTTAAATAATATAATGTTTGCAAGTTATCTCATACAGTACTAGTATTTAGTATTTTTCCAGATTGATGGTCCTCACATATCACTTTTGTCCATTTAACTAAACTTTTCAAGAATTATTTCCTCTGGTATTGGAGTCTATTTCATTTATTATTATCTTTGAACTAGGACTATTATGTCTACTCACACATATTTACGCGGCACTGGCCTTCTTTGTATTTCCTAATATCAGATTTCAGTTTTCTCCTCCTACTTGAAAAGATGGTTTCAAAAACACAAGGGGGCAGTGCTGGGGATGTGACTCAGTGGCAGAGTACTTGCCTAGCATGCCCTAGGCCCTGGGTTCAATCCTCAGCTCCACAAGCAAAACAAAACAAAGCAAAACCATCAGGCAATACTCACCTGAGTGTAATGACCACAGACTTTTGTGCATCTTCGGGTGTTGAAGTCATAGTCTTTAATTTCATTATACCAGTTTGAGATGGCTGAAGACTCCGAAAATAAGGATAGAGACCCAGTCCAGATATTTTCTCCCAGTGAAGTGAAGTTTGGGTGCATCTTGTTTGATTTCAGCTGTGGGTTATGTCTAAACTGACAAGATTTTGCCCACGCTTTTGCAATTTTGGCTAGTGCTGGATCCCAAGTCTGCAAAAGGAATTATTAAACAATATGGGAGTCAAGAATGGAATCTTCCACAACAATGTAAGTGGTGTGAGCCAGCAGGGATTTAAAAGGCACATGAAGTGTGATGCTATGTAGATCTTCCCTAAACACAGTCTTCTAGCAATAACTAGGGCTGAGGAAATAACGATAATCTGGTTTGATGGAATTTAGCATCTAAGCCAGGAAGACAGGCCAACGTTTCACCGAAGCATAATTATGTGTAAGATAGTATAAACTGTTTCACTGTCTATGCAATTTATTAGCCACAACACCCCTCATCTGAAGAAGCTCAGAAAAGCTACAAACCAGCTCAAAGTCACAGATCAGGGATTCAAACCCAGAATCAAAAATCCCATCCTTACCCTAGAATCCACATTGCCTTCCTGAGAAGGCCACAGAAAAAGTGAGCTTAGAGTCAAGAAAAAAGAAAAAACAGAAACCGAAAGAATCCTATTAACAAGGAAGAAAATAACCAAAAAAATAAAGAAGTCTCCCCAAGATGAGGAAGGAAAGGGCCCCAAAAGGGAACGACACTGCTCTTGTGGTGCTTGCTTTTGATGTGGTGAGTAAAGGGCTAAACTGCATTTTAATCACAGATTGTGAATTTACAGCACACACTAATCATAAGCAAAAAATCATCCAAGATTACCAAGAATATGTCCCCAAAGTTAATACCGGAGCTGTTTTTGATTGACTTATGCCACAAATACTGTTTTTTTTTTCCTTACCATGTATAGCATGTTCCTGGCTGTTGGAGTCACCTCTGATCGAAACTTGTTATGTATTCGAACACACTCTTTGATGAAATCTTCATTTTCAATATCTGGCAAGGTATTTACCTTATATGAATAACTATAGACAAAAGAAATCAGCCAGGTCATAGTAGCAAGAGTGACCCGCATGCTCAGTCCGTTGGACACAAAGCCGCAGGGAGCTAAATGCAGAGCCTGGGTTTCTGAGAGAATTCTCCTCTCTGTCTTCAGCTGCCGGCTTCACAAAGCATAGCTGACTTCAGCTTTGAGCAAACGGAAAACAGAACATGAGTTCATCACAAGTTTTAAGAAATGGGTTTCTCCATATATGGTTTGTAGCTGGTTTTGCAATCTTAACCCTTCATGTCAGTGGTTCTCGGTGACACAGCACCTATTCCAACAAGTATTCTTGCATAATTTTTTTGAGACTGCATCAGACTGTTCAGATTTTGTTCTGAGTTGGGAGGTATTTCCAAAGGAAATCCAAGAGTCTCCAGAAATAACAGTCTCCAATTTTTATGGGGGTTGTGGTAATTAAATAAAAACATATCTCTTGTTTCTGTGAATGACTTGCAATATATTTTTAAAAACCTTTAAGACTCATCTCAGCACAAAGTGGTGAGAATAGAATCTCTCTCTTATCTGAGTTTCCTTTATCATGATGCCTGAAACAGCAGACAGCACCAAACCCTATATATACTATGTTTTCTCCTATGCAGAAGTAACCATGGTAAAGTTTAATTTATAAATTAGGTTCAGTAAGAGATTAACAATAATAACTAATAACAAAATAGAAAAATCATAACAATATAATGTAAAAATTTGTCAGCATCACTACTCTTGTGCTTTGGGACCACTATTAGTAAAATAACACAAGCATTGTGACACAATGAGTTGATCTGGTAACAGAGATACCTGAGTGACTAATGGGCTAATAATATAGACAGCGCATATATACTAGAGAGAGGGATGGTTTATTTCCTGAGGCAGGATGGGAGCAAGATGGTGCAAGATTTCATCATGCTACACAGAAAACACACAGTTTAAAACTTAAGAATTTTTTTTTTTTTGCTTCTGGAATTTTCTATTTAATATTTTTTTGATCATGGTAAACTGGGTAACTGAAAGTATAGAAAGTAAAAACATGAACAAGAGAGGACTTCTCTACTTGGTTAACATCATAACTTGACCTAGAATTTTATTCACAAAAGTAGAAGTAAGTGTGTGTGTGTGTGTGTGTGTGTGTGTGTGTGTGTGTGTGTGTGTGTAGGAAAGGGAGGGTGAGAGAGAATTATAGAGAAAGTACTGCTCTCAATTTCAGATTTTAGCTGAAGCTCTGCTCCTAAATAGCTGTGAGACCTTGAGCAAGTTAACATACTCTCTAAGCTCCATCCACCTACTAAATGAGGCTAACAGGAAGTTTTCTATCTGCTTAATCATAGAGGTTTGGAAGGATCAAATGAACTAGCTAGTGCATTGATTCGTCACATATTACATTCCTGCTCTGAGTATTTGGCTTAGTAAAATAGAGCTAAAAACTTAGTCACTGTTTTTATGCAACTTACAGCGGTAGGAGCGGTGAGACCATAGTGACAGGGGCGTCTACAATAGAAGCTGTTCAAGATCTGGACAGAATAATGCACAGAGAGGTATGGACTCAATAGGAAAGGATGCTCATCCCATCTAGGAAAGGATAGACGCGGCTTCCTATGTACAGCAAGTGAGGTCTAGTTGGAGACTAGAATCATATAGGTAATAATCTGGTGAAAAGGGGCTGGAGAGATCAACAGAATAGAGAGATAGGAGCTGTACATCTAGTTGTGAAGTTGGAAACATGGTGTCAGGGGAAGGATACAGAAAAAAACATTACATGCCGTTTCCCTCTATATACATGGTTTTCAAGTGTTGATTTTGGCTTGTGGGAAACATGATACTGGTTCTCATGAAATTCAGAACCCAAATGGTGCCTTCATGCCAGCTGGAGAGAGAGAGGTAAGAATCAGATCAAGGACGACTTGTTGGTTCTGCCAATGATTTGGATTTTTATCACCAAGATGATGGGAAGTCATTGGAGGATTTTAGCTGTGGGTGGGATGTTTTTAGAAAACATCTGTAATTTAGAAAAATCAAGAAATGTGGAAAATGGAATGGAGTTGCAGAAGTATTTCTAACTGGGGAACTTGTAGAATTAAAAAATTTATAGAAAGTTAAGGTGAACATTACTGTTGCTACACACACAACCTAATAAAACACTTCTATAATTTCAAATTTTTCCTAGGGTGCTCAATTTCTACTAGCATTCTTCCCATCACATTGACTTAGGGTAAGCCTCTTGTCTGAGGCTCAAAGACAACTTTTTGATCACTGTAGTGATAATCAAAAGTGAGACCTTCCACCACTTTGAAGTTGCAGTCTGATCCAGGGACTATTTCCCATTTTCTTCTGGGTTCCTGTGAGCTAGACAAAAGAATAGGAAAAACTGAGACCTCATAAGCAGCAAACTCAGTGACATTTGTGGTTGCTTAAGTGGTTCCTGTTGTACACTTATAATTCCCAAAGACTAGCATTATCATTTTGGTATTAAAATGAATTAATCTTTAATTTCCTAAAAATACTGAACAAAAGGGAAGTCTGCTATCAGAGAGACCATTTTATGTTCTTATGCAGAGCAACTTAAATCCTTAGAGCCACACTGTTAAGATTTCAAAAGTCCATAGAATTGGTTTGTCCCAGACGACAGGAAATTTACTAGATGCAAATGAATCCTCCAGTTCTTAGGAGGCTTTCAACTTTGTTCTGAGTTCTTCTGTCCTTACCTGCGTTTTTATCACAGACTCCTGTATAAATGTGCATCTGTGTTAAGAAAGAGAGATTTTCTTTTAGTGATTACTACTGAATGGTGGCATTTTAGGATATATTTTTACCATCATTTTTACTCTTTGTTAATTTTATTATTTTTATAGTGAGAATATACTATTTTTATAATAAGAAAAGAAGATAAAACTTTTATTTTGGAGAGTCATGGGATCTTCAAAGTCATGCACAAATTATCATATACACAAAAAATTTTAATTTTTTAAATATCTTTATTTATTTCTTCTTATGTAGTGCTGAGGATCGAACCCAGGGCCTCACACATTCGAGGCAAGCCTTCTACCACTGAGTACAGCCCCAGCCCCTGTTTAATATTTTTTGACCATGGTAACTGGGTAACTGAAAATATAGAAAGTAAAAACATAGACAAGAGAGGACTGCTGTATTTGGTTAACATCATAAGTTAACATGACACATATACACATTCTGATGAACTTATGTACAGATAAAAGACTAAAAGTGTATCAGTACTTCCGTGTATTAATTGTGCTTATTATTGAATGGTAAGCTGTATCTATCCCAATAATAATTCCTTTTTAATAAGCAATAGTTTGTTGGTTAATTATGTATTGTATTAGTCAGTTTTCATCATTGTGACAAAATACCTGAGAAAAACAAACAGATTTGTTTTGGTTTGTGGTTTCAGGAGTTTTTCAGTCCTCACTCTGCTAACTCCATTGCTTTGAGCCTGAGGCAAGGCAATGACTGAAGGCTATAACCCAGGAAAGTTGCTCAGCTGGTGTTGTCAAGGAAGCTGAGAGAAAAAGAAGAGGGCCAGGGACAAGATACAACACCTCAGAGGACCCATTCCCTCTAACTAAGTTCAACCTCCTACAATTTCCACCACCTCCCAATTATCCATTCAGCTATGAATCCCTCAATGGACTATCTACTGATGAGGTCAGAGACCCAAGGATCCAATCACTTTTCCCAAACCCCACCTCTAGACATGGCTGCACTGAGGACTAAGCCTTCAACACATGAATCTTTGGGGGACATTCCAGATCTAAACCATACATGTATGCAAAATATTTCACCCTGTTTTACCATCCTATACACATCTATTTAGATACATAGTGACCTTTTTATTTGGGGGGTAGAAATGAGGTAGAATTTCTTATAATTCTACCCTTGCTACTTAGATTCTATAAACATCTGGGTTCCAAAAAACTATAGTACCTTTTCTATTGGGGGTATCGGTAGAAAAGGGCACAGAAGGTTCAGAAAGGGATAAGAATATTTATCAGCAAAATGTTTAATGTTTATCAGCAAAACAGGTCATTCATATTGTCTGTATGATCTTACTTGTTATAAGTCAGTTTGAGCCATGCCAGTCTGTACAAGTCAACTGTAATCCACATTCTAGGAACAATTATGGCTATAGGACCTTGCACATTTTACTTATCTGTCCCTTGATTCCCTTAGCTATAAAATGAGGATGACAAGTAATGTTATAATTAATAGGTGTCTTTGGATTGATGAGATTTTGATTGAGAAATTATTTGTAAAAAGATCTTAGAGAGGACTTATCACACAATACATTAACTAATGTTATTGTTACTTCCCTTTTAGGACCCTCCGTATTCATGTTTACAATTGAGACTAAATTTAGCATAGAATATTTTCACTTTTATAGCATTACATTTAGAAAAGAGAAGAAAATTAAGTTGGTTGTTAGAAAAACCATATCTTGACACTCTAAATATTGTTATGGATTCACAATGGATTGTAACACAAGTTATTCAGAATGATGTTGGTTTTTTAACAGATTATCCTGTAATTGCACAAACTGCATCATTTGGATAGTCCAAATAAGTAATTTATTTTACTAGTAGTAGAAATGAATACATTGAATGACCTGTAATGATATTTATGCTGTTTTTCAACATTTCTAGAGATTTAGGTGAAAAATGGTAGGTAGAAGCCACTTCCTATTCAAAGGTATTTGCACACAAAGATCCTGGGACAGAGAAATGCTCTAATAAATGCGCTTGTTTCTTCTAAAATAATGCATGAAATAGAAATATTGGCTTTTTTAGTTATTAGACACAAACGCTTTTATGTTTCTATGCTTTGATGTTTTTAACTTTGTTGTGTATTTCATTTCTCTATTCAACAATTAAAGATGCACTTTCAGAAATAATTGCTAATATGTGGATTCTAACACACAAAAAGGGGAGAGGAAGAATAGAAGTTCACTGGATTAGACAAAGGGGAATGAAGGGAAGGGAAAAGGATGGGAATCGGAAAGACAGTAGAATGAATCAGACATTACTTTCCTACATTCATATATGAATACATGACCAGTATAACTCCACATCATGTACAACCACAAGAATGGGAAGTTATGCTCTGTGTGTATATGATATGTCAAAATATATTCACTGTCATGTATAACTAAAAAGAACAAATAAAAAGATTTTTAAAAAATCGCTTTTAAAAATATATAATAATTTTCATGGGCTGGGGATGTGGCTCAAGCGGTAGCGTGCTCGCCTAGCATGCGTGCAACCCGGGTTCGATCCTCAGCACCACATACCAACAAGATGTTGTGTCTGCCGAGAACTAAAAAATAAATATTAAAAATTCTCTCTCTCTCTCTCCTCTTTCACTCTCTCTTTAAAATAAATAAATAAATAAATAAATAAAAATATATAATTTTCAGAGTAGATTTTTACTCTAATGTCTTTTGCCTAGCTTAAATGATTATGGGTTTTATGTAGTTCTCAGGATGTGTTAATCATATTAGTATATTCAAGCCTTTCTATAGCTACACTGAGTCTTCTCTGGTTACTAAAATCTAGCTATGTTGTATTTTCTTTCAATTTTTTCTTCTTAATGGAAGAAATTCATTTTTTAAAAGTGCTCTTTCTACTTTCCTTTCCTAAGTCCCTCTTATGAGTGATAATAGATATTAGAACCAGAGCCTTCTTCCCCAAGCAGAGCTAACCACATCAAGTTAGAGTAGTTCCTTCAGAGTAACACATACAACACTGACACTTCACCCACAACTACTTGACAAAGGACCTCACATCTTTCTAAAATCCTTACAGAAGGTTTTCCAAAGGTTTGTTTCACATTAGCTAATGAAGTCCATTTCCACTGACCAATTATGCAGCTTCCCAGATGTTGGACTTTTTTTCTGATGTGGCCAGGGTTCCCTGGGTTTCTATCAGGGCTGCTTCAAGGAGCCAGAACCTCAGGATGGGTCCTAAAGCAGGGCTCCCTGCCCAGATGCTTTCACTGTTTACTTACACTTTCCCTACTCTCCCATATGGGCTTAAATCAGGAGATAAATCCAAATGATAGTATCCAAGCTGCCCAGAATTCTCCCTGTTGACCCACATCTAAAGAATTTTCTACTGGGTTAAGCTTAGCATAAATGCCCTCCTAGGAGACTCTTTATTCTTCATGAAGATAAGATTTTGACAAGCCAAGCCCAATGTGGCCAGGATTATACTCTGACTCAACAGAGTATAATTATACTCTGACTCAACCCTGCCCCCAGAGCTACTAGGCGTTAGCCATTATGGGAAGTATATTCCACATCATATATCCAGGCTTGTGCTCCCCTCCTGTACTCAGCTGCTACTTGTCATCTCTACCTGTGATCTTCCCCCATCTCAGTATCATATTATCATTCCATCATCCAAAATCTCAGGCAACTCTTGGAATCATCTTTGACTTTTCTTTCTCTCAATCTTCACAGGTAGGTCATTAGTAAATTCTATTTACTCTATCTTTGAAATATATCCAAAATACAACCACCTTTTATTGCTTCTCCTTCTATCAACCCTCTTTACTGCCTGGATTATTAAGTTTCTTAAGTAATCTCCTCACATCCTTCCTTGCCACCGGACATTATATTCTCCTCCTTGCTGTTAGCGTTATCCTTTTATGGTATATATTATTCATGTCACTCCTCTGCTCAAAACCTTGCAAGACTTTGATTTCAAAATGAGCAAAATGAAGAAACAGCCTCTACACAAAGCTTCCATTTTTTGTTTTTTTTTTTGGACAGAGCTTTTATGGGTTAAAGGTTAAGAGGTGATAATTTTCTAGAAAGGCTGGCAGTCATCAGTGTAGAAGTTTAGTTGGTAGCATTTACTACTCCTTAGCAGCAACTGTGATGGTTTTCTTAACAGTGAGATCAGGAAGCTTAGCCTAGAGACAGTTTTTCCAGCCCCATTAATCATCGCATCAGCTTCTTAATTCTTTTAATAAAGTTCTTTTCTAGTTCACTAGAGCAGTTTGTCGTTTGTTCCTTTGCAGCTAGGAATCCTGACTTTTTTAAGAGGAAAAGGAAAGAAAAAAATCTGTCAATATACCCCAGAGGTTTCTCTCTTAACATACTACTGGTGTGCTTCTTTCAGTCTTGTGCATACACACACACACACACACTCACACACACACACTCACACACTCACACATGTAGATACATATATGCACATATATTATAAAAACTCATGTATATTTAAAAATATGTAAAAGACATGAAGAATTTTGAGATCATAATTTTTTCTTTCTTTTTTCCCTAACCATCAATTCATAATTATAATTTGGGTTATTTTAAGTCTTCATAAACATTTCAAGGGATATACAATGTTTCCTCATATTAATACATTGTAATTTACATAACATTATTGTTGGATATTTGGATTCCATTCAGTTTCTCTATATGATTAATAATAATGATTGACATCTTTATTGAAGAGAAAGCAAGGAAGGAGAGACGGGTAAGCGAGAAATAAAAGATGGAGACCAGGTAGAGATACACACGAGACTTTATTTGTCAGAGCTGACAAATAAAGGCCACTTCTCTATAGGAGACAGAGGCAAAGCAGGCTTGAGTTCTGGGACTTTTATGGGGGCAGCTCTTACTGTGGGCAGTTAAGGGTTGGGTTGATATGAGGGAGTGGTGAGCCTTTCTCAGAAATGCCCTTGGGCAGGGGAAGTAAAATTTTTTCCTTAAAATGGCAGCTGCCACTTAAGATGGCCATTCAACATAAGGCAGGGACCTTATATTTATATATAAGGAATAGTGTCCAATTACTCTTAGAATTTATAATAATTTATATTTTTATCATCAGCATATACATATTATAACCATATATTTTCTTAAACATTGGGACAATAAGTATGCCCATATACATACCTGGTTTTGCATACTGTTAATGAGATTCAGAGCCAGATACTCATGGTAATATTGTAAAGATAGATTTTATTCAGAAAGCATTGTAGAAAAAGAGGAGTGGAAATCTCAGTAGAGAACTGGGCTCAATTCCAATTATGATGAAGACACTGGAGGAATTATAGCTAAGAACAGAGTGGAGCCATGAGAGAAAATTAGTAAGAAGAGACATTGAGGGGACAGGGAATACCTGTTAAGATGAATTTAACAGAATTTTTGCTGAAATCAGGCCAGGGTGATCAGTTAAGGAGGGCAGGAGAGAGATTTTTCTAAACTGGTTCAACAGGAATTTTGCTTAAACTAGTTTATTCAGGTCTAGCAAAGTGGCCAAGGTCAAGGGCCAGTAGAGAACAGGGCTTAGAGGAGCCTGACTAGTTTGGTAAAAGAAAGCATCTCGTCCATATGCATATTTAAGAACTTCCTCTTTTCTCTACTTTGTTAGTTAATTTTTTTTTTTTATTGTGAGAAATTCCAGGAAGAAAAACAATTTAGAGGAAGAAATACTTCTTATTTTGGCTCATGGTTGCAGAGGTTTCAGTCCACGGTCAGCTGGTTCCCTGGCTTTGGGCATGAGATGAGGCAGGACATCATGGTGGTAGGGTATGGCAGAGGAAAGCTGTTCAGATCTTGGCAGCCAGGAAGCAGAGAGAGAGAGAGAGGGAGGCAGGATCCAAGCGCAAGATACAGTCCTGAAGGGCATACCCCAGTGACCTATTTCCTATGTTTCTACCACTTCCCAGCAGTCCATCCAGCTATCAATGGATCAATTCACTGTTGAGCTCACAGCCCTCAAGATCCAATCATTTCTCCAAAGCCCACCATTGCTATATTAGGGATAAAGGCTTCAACCCAGGAGCTATGGGGGAAAATTCCAGGTCTGAATTACAATGTCTCCTTTAATATGCTAAATTTCAGTTAACCATTTCTGAACTTCTGCTCAAGTTCACACAATAAGAGAAAGAAGTGAATTAAACATAGTTTGTCTCTCTTCTTTGTTGATCTTGAGGTATCATTATTTTTTTTCCCAAAGAGGACCCTAAAGTAGAACTTCCACAGTTTGCCTTGATTTCTTATATGTATGATTAAAAAGCCAGCTCTCAAACCAAATTCACAAGCACTGGGATCATTTCTGTTCATACTTGAACAGATTAGTCATCTTTTTAAAACTGGATTTGAAGGATAATGTTAAGATGAGAATTGAGTAACATGCATTTCTAACTTCTTAAACATTTCCATACTTGTCTTTCTCTGCCTTTTATAAAATTTTTTTAGCATTAATATGTTTCAGAGCAAAACATTTAAAGGAAGTTCATATCCTCTTATAGCATTTCTTAGTTTGGTAAGAATGCTTTGAGGTTGAAATATGACTTAGCTAAGTTTCAGTATAAACACCTGCCTGAGGTTCCCTTTTTTGTTCCCCTCTGCCGAGTAATGCTATTCTCATTTGAGTAAAGCAAGAGACAAGTTCTCACCGTGTGCTCTGTCAAGTTTCTTCAGTGCCTCTGCTCAGATGACCTCGGAGAATAATTCATGTTTTAGCAGTTGTACTACCAGCTTCTCTGTGGCTAAGCAAAGACCTTTGTACAGACTGCAAATTGTGTGCAGGAAATCGGCTCTCATGTGGAGAGACCATGAGAGCAAATGTGGAGTTACCATGGTAACATACCTTGCTCCTCTGCTCTTAAGTTTCAGCCTTGATGGAGATGGGTGGGGGAGGATAATAGGTGGCTGCTGGACTATTCCACTGACTTAAAAATGGCGGCTATCTTCTGCCAGTTTATCATGACCCATAACCACTAGGCTTATGCTTTTCAGGACATAGTTCAGCATGGCATATTCTGTTAATGTTTACTTTCTTATGATCCTGAGACATATGCATTCTAAAAGTACATTTGTAATGAGGAAACTGAGAGCCAGAGTCAAATAATTTGCTCAAGTTCACGCAATAAGTAAAAGACAAACTCAGTTTGTCCCTCTTCTTGGTAACAATGACTTTTACCCTTTGATATACATTCGAATAGGCACACCATAGTAGTCCATTGGTGATTCTAATCAGCTCTTCCTAGTGCTTCTGGGATATGGTCAAAGTTTGAGAGCCACTATTTTACACCATGGTATTTACCCAGTGACATCATCCTTGGCAAAATACTGAAGCTAAAGGCCTCATTCACTCTCATCACTCTATCTTGGGATATTGGTACCAAAATTCTCCCAACTTCCCACTGTTGCTTCCAGACCAGTGCTACACATTATTCTCTGTAAAATTTGAGACACATGACATTCATTTATACTAAATTCTTACTATCATCATCCTAAGACCTCTATAACTCTTGAGGATTTGGGCCTTGCCCTGGAGTCTTTATCTCCATTTGAATTTCTAACACTCTTTCCCAAAACTTCCTTAACCAACTCTATTCCAGTGATTTTAACAAAAGACTTATGTAGACATGTCCTGGGCTTTTCCTACTAGACTGGTAGTCTTTGATCACAGATTCCTACTCTTTGATCACAGCATTCTCCACCTTACCGCTTAAACTCTGCACTGTTCCTGCTTCTAAATCTTCTCTCCATATTATCATGATTTTCTTTTGCTTATCACCCCTAATGCCATCCTGTTGTTTCTTTGTCTAGCCCGGGAACCCACAATCACAAACGTGTTCACACCAGCATCATTAGCTAACTCTCACTCTTATGATCCCCCTCTGAGCTAACTTAGCCAGCCCTTGACAAAGGGAAAAAAAAAAAAAGTTTTAGTTTCTATTAAGTGGAACTACAGAAAATAGAAAAGTGATGCTGGTGGGAATCATCACTATGTAGTTGCTCAGCTACATTTTAAATCAGATCTACTTTTAATTTTTGAGCAGTAATTTGCTACAAACCTTTGCAACCCTCAGGCCACCTAACCACCATGAAAACTGTCTCCTGTGGTTCAGTTTCATAAAACATCTGAAGATGAGTTGTGGCTCAGTGGTAGAGTACTTGCCTAGTATGGTTGAGGCCCTGGGTTTAGTCCGTAATACCACATGAAAACAAATAAATAAAGGTTAAATTCTTTTCTTTTATTTTTTTTAGTAACTGTTGTAAGGTTAAATTCTTAAAAACAAAAACACTTCACTAGGCACCAGTTGTCAAGGTCTTCATTTGTGACTCACTGTTCTTGTTCCTTTTTTTTTTTTTTTAGAGAGAGAAAGAGAGAAAGAATTTTTAATGTTTGTTTTTTAGTTTTTGGCAGACACAACATCTTTGTTTGTATGTGGTGCCGAGGATCAAACCCAGGCTGCACGCGCTACCCTTGAGCCACATCCCCAGCCCGTTCCTGTTCCTTTTGACTGGAGTATCATTATCCCAATTTTTTTCCTCTACTAAATTCCTATTCATCCTTTAAGGCCCAACTTGAATATTATCTCTTCTATGTTGCATTATATGACTTCCCTGAGCACCTCCTTTACTTGTTCTCTAATTTCCTTCTCATCCTTGCTTTCCTTTCCTACTAAACTGTGAAGCAGAAGCAGTCTGTATTCATTACCACATCACCTCACACTGTCTTTCCCTCTGTCTTAGCCTAGGCTAGGTAGTTTAAACAATAGAATTTATTTCTCAGCTGTGGAAGCAAGAAGTCCTACACCTGTTCTGGGAGACAGTTCATTTCACGGCTAGCATCTGCTTTCTGGCTTGCTGGCTTGCGGATGGCCACCTTCTTCTCATGTCTTCACATGGGTTAGGGAGAGAGGAAGAAGAGAAAACATGTACCTGTTCTGGTCTCGTCCTCTTCCTTTATGGACACTAATCCCACCTGGGGTTCTATCCTTATGACTGCATCTAAATCTAATTACATGTCAGAGATACCCTGCCACGCCCTGCCAAGATCATTCTGTGGGCTAGAATTTCAACATATGACTTTGAGGAGATACAGACATTCGATTCACAATACCCTTTATTTCAGAATTTCCACCTCAAATCATGTTAAAAGGAGATTACTTAGATATTGGAAAAGATATATTCTAAAGCTGAGTTATTTGCAAGAACTCAGTCCTTAAATCTGTGCTGTCTAATATCATAGCCTCTAACCACATGGGGTTACTGAACACATGAACTATGGCTAGCCCAAATTCAAATGTCCTTTAAGTGAAAAATACACACCAGTTTTTAAAAACTTGTTATGAAACAAAAAAATGCAAAATATCTCCTTAATAGTCTTCATATTGATTACATGTTGAAATGATAATATTTTTGATGTGTTGGATTAAATAATATATGTTATTGAAATTAATTTCACCTACCTGTTTTTATTTTTCTTATGTACCTGCAAAAAAAAAAACAACCTGGGCGTGTATTATATTGCTATCAGACAGTGCTGCTTTTAATAAATAATGTATAATGTTCATTAAGGATATAGTGACTAACATTAAAAAGTACAGAATGATAAAGTTTAGGAATATGTTCAACTTGTAACTTTGTATATAAACCTATACTTATAATTTTTTCTCTGTAATACTTCAAACTACCTAGTAAATTCAAGTTTCTAGTCAATATGAGATTAAAATTAGGAAGAAATAAGTAACAATGCCACTGTGTCCTATTATCAGAAGATTCTATGGTTTTCTGTCCTAACTATATTTGTAGAACAATTAAGACACAGGAATCCTCATTTCCTTAGGAATCACATTCAAGGCACCAAAGTTACAAGGTGACATAGGGAAGCTAAAGTAGTCATAGCATGTATTTTCCTGCATAAATGTGAGCGCGCACACGCATACAAACACTAACAAACTTTTGTATTTCCTTCCTGTATTAAGTACAACTATCCTTGGAGGAAGAGTCAGAATCTTTGTACAGTTCTTTCAATATCCAAAAGTTCAAGAAAAGAGCAATATAAGAAATTAACTGCAAAGTGATATTGCAATTCTTGCAAAAGATTCAGGATTTCAGGAATTTATTCAAAAGCTGTAGACAGGAAAGACAAGATGGGTGAATAAACATGCATAGTACTCAGCTTTTTCTCCACAAAGAAGAATCTAAGTAACAGGTATACAGCTGCACTTTGGGGTGAGTGACTATGAGAAAATATGAAAATAAGCAAGAAGAGACTAGATCATTGTAAGATTCAGAGACCTGGTCAACAGCTTGGAAAAGCAAAATACCCCAGAATCTGTCACCAGGGATTAACAACCAGGGGAGGTAGTTTTACCTTTGCAGTGGTAAAAGTGAAAGAGGGAGTCTTAGAAAACTCTTGATGCAGATGCTGGCAATCCTAGATACAGGAAAATTTCATAATCCTCACAGACTTGCATCTCATTTAGATAAGCAACCCCAAATCTGCACAAAGTGCAATCTTACTTTGGTAATGGATCTCATCTCCCAGCAAAACCCCAGGTTTGCTGGAGCCAGGAGCCATTTTGAAAAGGGACTATTATCTGAAGTTGGCTTAATCTAGGAGACAGAAACTCCTGCATATTCCCATCTGTGGGACCCCACAGACATTCCACATTTACTGACTTTGAGGGTAGCTGCCTCATGAACCCAATGTGGCCCAGCTAAGTGACTGTGGTCCAAGTCCACTGAGTGCCCTGCCCTGTATAGGATGATGTGACAACATGGAATATGACAGAGGATGCGGTCCCTAAGAACCAGGAGATCAGAGTGCTTTCCCTCTGAGACTCAAGGTGTTGTGCCAGTGGCATGTGGACTCATGCTACTGCCAGGATAAAGGCAGATACTCAGGCAGCTCCCACCACTCCTACCCATTGCATAGCACTCAGGCACGTGTTACTGACAAGATTGGGAGAGAACATCAGGATTTCTGCTACTGCTATCCTTTTTTTTTTTTTTAGAGAGAGAGAGAGAGAGAGAGAGAGAGAGAATTTTTTAATATTTATTTATTTTTTTTTAGTTTTTGGCGGACACAACATCTTTGTTTGTATGTGGTGCTGAGGATTGAACCCGGGCCGCACGCATGCCAGGCGAGCGCGCTACCGCTTGAGCCACATCCCCAGCCCCTGCTACTGCTATCTTTGCCAGAAAGGGCTTGAGAAGGAGCCTTGAACAACTCCATGGTTCCAGCAGTTAATTAGCTTCCAGGAATATGGTGAGGGGACCTGAGAGCAAATATGCATATCTGCAGGTAGAACTCTAGGGGAAGAAGTCAGGAGGGAAAAGCCCTGAGAGTGGCCACTGGCCCTGAAGCAGCAGAGAGGAACAGCATGATTCCTGCTGCCACTTTGCTTATACATTTCTGGCCCTGCCCCCTCCCCCCCATCTGACCATGAATTGCTGTCAGGAATGAGTGTGGGTGCCAAAGACCGGGTGCCACAACTCCCACCACTGCCCCTCCCCATATAGCATCTGGGCCCATACCACTGATTGATCAGAGAATAAGTAATTCAGGGCCCTCATCTGAACGGTCTACCAGGGTCAAAGGCCCTTGCTAGTAACAAAGCTTGCATCAACAGTACCCGAGAAACCTCCTTGCTTGATAGGGGCCACCACACCATTGTAGGACTGGCCACACAGTACGCATCACACAACATGGTTTACCATGGTTCTACCATAATATGCACCATGTCCAGAGTCATTAATCAGCCAATGAAGCTATAGGGAGAC